TAGCTGGATAACTTCCCTCGCATTAAAAAATGGGCTTGAATCCCGGAAACTACCTTTATCTACTTCGGACACGGACGCGTAGCCCCTCAAGGTATTACATCCGTATTTCCCTTAGTTTCAAAGACATAGAGCCGAAAAAGCCCAATCTAAATGAAGGAGAAAAGCCAACAATTTTGAGTTTTTAATTTTTTCAGCAACTTGTGTTGATTACTTTGCAAGCCTAGGTTTATTCTTTACTAGGAAAAAACCAACTTCAATTAACGAAATAATTATTTAAACCTTTGTTTAACGCCTTCTTTTAGAGCCTTGATATTTCATGTAAATAGTTGAAGCCTTTCTAAATTTACCAGCTTTAGATTGAAACTGTTTGCCGCCTACGTCGCATGAATATATATCTATTTCATCCTTTTTATAAACAATAGCTGATGGAATATGTTTCTGTTGATAAGGCAAATCCATGAAACATCCATGAAACGGGGCTCTCGCCAGGATGGAACACTTTTAAAGCTAAAATATCGAAAGGGAATAATATCTTAAAATGCGAAAGATTTATGCATGATGAACGTTTCTACCGGTAATATCTTAATATATTTGTTTAGATTAAAGCGACAAATCAAATTGAAATAGTACATAAATGCATGTATTATCATTATTAGAAACTTTAGTCGTCGCCTTAGAAACGATAGTAGAAAAATATATAGAACCTCTCTCCCCTGAATAAAATACTAACTTACTTACTTACTTACTTAATTACATACTTACTTACTTACTTACTTACTTAACTACTTAAATACTTACTTACTTACTTACTTACTTAGTTACTTACTTACTTACTTACACTTACTTACTTACTTACTTACTTACTTACTTACTTACTTACTTACTTACTTACTTACTAACTAACATATCATTTAAATTATTTATTGTTTATTACTCTCAGTTGAAGAAAAAACAACGGAAGTTGAAATGTATGTTTGTTTATAAGAAACATATTGCAAACCTGCTAATTTTGCATTAAATGCAACTCCAGCAGAACAGTTGATTGCCGAATTCCGCACCAATAAGTCCAGTGGCCATTGTTCCATTAATGCAAAGACAATAGTGAACACATATACATAGAGAATAATAGGTTGGTGCCGTGGATTGAGAAAGTTTATCTGGCGAGGCGGAGGAATTTATTGGGTGAGCCGAAGGCGAACCCAATAAATTCCGGAGCAGAGCCAGATAAACTTTCTCCATCCACGGCACCAATCTATTATTCTATTTATCCTGTCACCGTTTTTTTAAAGAATTTTATTAGGCAAACAACCTTAAATCACACTATCGGAAATGTTTCTATATAAACAAAGAAGGCCCTAATTTTTCTACACCAATGCACTCGCCGTTCTTATTATCTCCCCGTGTATTTTCACATTGAGGGCGCCATTTTGTTTGAAAAATGTGATAAATAAAAACAATTTTTTGTCGAATTTTGTTGTGAAAACTATCTAGAATGAAGGAAAATGGTCTAACTAAGAAAATGAATTCGAATACCAATATCTTTTATTCAGTCGTTAACGCTGTACAGACGTTTAAAGTATTGTTTACGTGACGTCACAATGTAGCGCCAAACAGCACGTGCAAAACAATCAAATCAAGTACGCTATTCTAAAATGTCGCAAACAGTTAAGTTTTACATTTATTTCACTTTAAATAATTTTTATTTCGCTTGAAAAATTATAGAGTGAAATAAAATAAACAAACAAAGTTTTATCAACGTTTCCAAAATTCGTTATTCTACACACAGAAGATTTAACGACAGTTTTTATATTTTTTCTTGAAAAGTAGTCCGGCAAACATGCATACCACGTGATCAAGTGCCGTAGATCAGTAAAAATATACGGCACCTTGTTATCGGGCCGAAATTGAGACAAGTGACAGGATAAATGTATTTATCACATACCCTTGCCGTTTTTGCGACTCCGTAAATATATTATTGCACGGCCGTGTACATATTTTTTCGTGACGTCATTTACTTTGTATAAGCATAGCGTTATGTCACGCAAAATGTTAGTGCTACACTATAAGCGCATCGATGAAAAATGGTTCTTATTCAGTTCAAACGGTCTTTACTGTTGGTATATGATAAACTGAATATTAAATTCGTGTAAGTTCATTGCAAGAGACTCGCATAACAATTATACTACTCAAATTGCTGAGCACTAAGGGTATGTTTGTAACTTTCTTATAGTGTATGTCAAATATAAGATTTGTTCTTATATATGACATAGTGATTTAAAACATCAATTAGGAATTTGTTACCAATTTTTATGTGTTTTCATATTGATAAGTTTTGATTGTAATGAAATTGTGTTTTAGACGGGTGTGGTGGAATTTGTGAAAATACTCTTTTGCAATGTTCTGGTGAAATATCCAGTTTCGAGATCAAACTATAAATAGTGATTTTTAAAAAAAACATTTGTAAGTTTATTAACAAACTTAAGATTTTTGTAAGCTCCGTAACAACCGTTCGCCAGAGGCTTTTTAATAGGAAAAATTTACAAACTTCTTTAGAAAGGGAAAACATGAATTTTTAATGTTTAAATAATAGTATCAGAGAAATTTAAGATACTTGTTACCTGAATAAAGTAGCGATAAATGTGAAAAATGTCATTAAAGTAGCAAAATGTAAACAATTTTGTATTTGACTTCCATATAAAATACTTATTCACTATTACTGTACCCATTTCCAAAAAGCAACAGATGAAAAAGATGGTTCAGATAATTGGCCAATGAGTAACTTTTTGGATACTATTGAAGAACACCAAAATTTAAAAAAAAAGCTTAAGAAATACAAATAAAAGCATAACGGGCCTTTAAAACGTTATTTTTATAATATCGGGTGGATCGGGACCCCACCATCCCGTCTGGACTCCCCCCAGTCTTGACTTCCCCCTCAGTGAGAACTTTACATTATTGTATTTTCTGATGCTGACATTCAATCTCTGGCACAGCGCTTCACGACATAATTAACAACAAGTAGCTTTAGTTCTCAAAACAGCTTAAAATTAGCGACATAAAAGAAGAAATATTTTTATTTTGTTACAAGTATCCAACAAATTACAACGCATTCAAAGTTTAAAAGTAGTGTTGGCTTATAGAATTGTCAATAAATGCACAATCACAAATTACGCGGTTTTATATCATTTAATCAATGAAAATGCTATTTTTTAGCGATGTCGATTACCGAATACTTCAGATAAATCTGACTGTCGAGTGGTGGAGTATATACATGTCAGACTGTTTTGGTGAGAACATTTTTGCTAAATTATTTACATCAGTGCTAAACAAACAGATTTATCATGAACAAAATACGTCGAATTTAATAAGGATTACAAACCCTAAAATTCTATAAAATTATTTGAGTTTATTCAGTTTTCTTCGTATAACTTCCCCGTGGTGCAGGGGTAACATGCTCGTCCAAGGTGCAAGAGGTCTGGGGTTAAAAACCCAGTCGAGACAACTATCTTTTTTTGAAATGGTCTTTTTTAAGCCACGATATGCAAGGATAAAGTGTGGCTGTCATAAACAAATGAACATAAATGATTTTTGATGCAAATCTGGTCATGCAAAATTCCGTATGTATCAAACTCAAACTGTTACAGTAAAAAATCTAAACGCAGTCGCTGCATCTCGGTGCCCTGCAAGATAAATAATAGTATATTAATATAAACTTATACAGGAAAATATATACTTGTACATACAGATTTACAGTACGATTTAGTTGCAAAGATCAGAAAATATCACAGAGATTGCAGCCCTTTGATTATGAATGTGTGACTACTTAAATAGTTTATGATATTTTTGTGTTCTGCCTGTACGGACTAATACTTAAGTTTCTTAAATGTCACATTTAGATAAGCTTAATAAATGGCCATTTCAACATAATCAGGCACAATTTTTACTGAAATGTCTTATTAAGATTTCCCAGAAATTATACCTTTTATCTATGCTAAGACTATTATATTTCTATAAAATGTATCAATAAAAATAAACGGGAAAATGATGCAGTTAATGAAACGGAACAATGGAGTTAATGAAAGGTGTACATTCTTTTGAAATTAATGGAAAATGTGAGAAAAAATATATATTTTGAGTTATTAATTGATACAAATTCTTTATTTGATGAAAGTTCTTCACTCATTTAAAATACCTGCTGATTCTACTATAATTCAGGACACATGTTTTGCCTCTATTCAATACCTTGATTTTTGTTTACCATTGGCTTTGACTACAATATATTATTTGAAACATCATGAGAATTCATTTTAATGATTTATTTTTTATGACCCCAAAGTGCGGTCGCTTGTCTAATGTTCAGAAATGCATATGTACCTGTTGGTCAAAATTAGACCTCAAACTTCGTAACGCACTCTGAGGTCGGACCCCAAAGTACGTAACGCCCTTTTGGGTTGGACCCAAAAGTGCGTTTGATCCCAAATTGCGGTGTTACAAAGCTTGACTAAATGTTCAAACCCGGATTGACATGATCTCGTATTAGGAGTGACAGTATGTGGGTAGGATTAAGCGCACGTTTAACTTATTTAAAGAATATGATATATAATGCCACGACCTTGCATTTCTGGTCAGTCCAATCTTTTTATTTTAAGTAATACTGAATGGGTGGTGTGTTCTCTGAATATACCGTATCATAATTATAATAAAAATGTTATAACGATTATGATATCTCGTACATGAATCTTTCAAACTTTAATTAGGGGTACAAATATATACTGAACTTATTGCAAACACAGACATGTATGTAAAATTATTACAACAGGAAAGATATATGTCATTAAGCTATATATCTGCAGCAACATTATTGTTTGAATTTTAATAAAAAATCGAAAAAATCGAAAATGCTTGTATGAAAGAAATATGATAGTAAATTCCGTAAAAAGTGAATGACGCAAGCATGAAATCATTTGTAAACTGTGAAAACCATATTGAAAATAGCAACATTATATTCTGTTACAAAACATTTAATTCTCTTCATGTATGTAATATACACGTGTGTTTAATAACAGAAACATTCTTTATCAGCTTTAAGAAAAATAATTGTTTCTGGAATTCCTTGTAACGAATTCTACATTGAAATTCTCCATTGAAAATAAATCTACATTAAATCATGCATTACAATTCTACATTGAATTCTACATTGATTGCATTACCATGTTGTTTAAAGATTAATCCCATTAGCTCAAAGTCAACAAATTTCTTAATGAACCTAAAACTGATGGCGCCTATTTTTGAAAATGGAAAATTGCAATAGCGCACAGAGCAATAGCAGATATAGATAAGGAAATTATGATAAGATTAAAAACAGATATATAGCTTTCATTCGCAGTTTCTACGATCTCTTTCTCGTCATCTATTTTTTTATTACTGTCACTAAAATCAGTCTTATCATTTATCCTCTTTTCAGTTACATTATAAAATGATTTAAACGGGTGACTGGCAGTTCCAAAAAGTGTAAATGCTAAATTCTTCACCTCTAGTTGTTCTGAAAAAGAATACGATGTTGAAGTTAATATCACAATTGAAAAGCAAAATTCCTTTCCATAAAATGTTAATTCTTTACTCATAAAATTTGTCAACTTTTTATTATTATTATCATTATTATTTTTATTATCATCATCATTATCAAATTTAAATCAGCCCCTAAATTACGCTACACATTAGGATCTAACATTTACCCATAGGCATCTTCTCGTGGTCTTTCAAACAACCAATTATTGGCGAGCTTTCATTATTTTGAAAGCGATGCGGTTTCTAATTCTTACCACTCAGTAGTTAATTTTCACAATTTCGAGTACAAACATGACGTTGTCAGATAAACGGTCAATACAATCTTGCCATTTAAAATTGACTCTATTATTTCAAGTTAAGTAGCAGAAAGTACAATGGATATGAATAGATCAAGGAATGATAAAATATTTTCTCTTTAAGATATTGCGTAATTATAATTTCAACAAGCTTTATTTAAAAGAAGGAAACACATCTAGAAAAGATAGGAACTCCACATAGGAACACATACTTTGATTAATGTTATGGCTTATATTGAAAACAATTGTCCAGTTTCCGGCAGGGTTTTCACCCCAAAAATGAACTGACGTAAAATTCCATATTCTCCATCCTCGTAAGTTTTTTTTACGATTCACATTTCCTTTGCGACTAAGTAGCTGAGAACAGGACCGGTGTGGTGAACAAAGAACAATGTCAAGTAAGTCGTCATGCTGTTTTGTATAGCTTAGACTTATCAACACATGTTCTAAATTGTTTATACAGTCTTTATCGACAGCACATTGGTCAACTTGAAGGTAAGTGCGTATAACATTTTCTCGAGGCAACCTGTAAATAAATAGGTAAATTATGACTTAATACAGAATAACAAGTATACTACACAGCTTAACATCGGCGGGGGTAACAAAATAAAATATTCAGAAAGCAAGAAAACACTTTTAGAATACTTTCAAAATTTATGTTTGTCAAGCAATTCCCTCATGACTAACTGGTATTATTCCAACACTTCATTAACACCAGTTTGCATAAAAAAACGAAATGAAATGACCAATGAAGTAATACATTAGGGTTTAAATTAAAGCGGTTATTTTATTTTATCTTAGCTTTCAAAAATTACTATTCTTCCTCAAATTTATATATGTTTCACCAAATATACTCTTTCGAGAGCAATAAAATCAATAACTTTTAGATAACGATTGAAGACTCGACTTGACTTAGTCTGTTTATGAAAGGTTACGGATTGTGCAAAATCTCGCACCTCTTCTAGTACCGGCTTAAGTAATATTTCTTAGGTCACTCTGCAAAATCTATGTATTTTATAATCTTTGTTGTAGCATCAAACACAGTTTTCGTAAACTTTGTATTTACTGACCGTATCTGCAATTTCGCTTCTTTGACTGTCTTCTGTTTTTGTGGTGGTACGTTTGTCCAATTTCTTGCCATAAGTGTCATTTTTGCAGCATTCATTAATCCAAATCCAAGGAAAGAATCAACTGAAAATATGAAGTTAATGACTGTATGAAAAAAATATTTCTTTACAAAATGTAATTTGCCTAAAGATTTAAGGCTTGTAATGAATAGTTGGGTTATATGATCATTTTCTTTTACTTTGAAGATATTTTACCTGTGGTTTGTGCCTTGTTCGTATTATTTTTTCAATAATTTCTTAGATAAATGTCTGTTGTTCTACACCTTTCTTAAATTAATAGAAAACAATTTAAGAGATAAACATGGCAGTTACAGAAAAAGATCATTGAATGTCATTCAGTTCTTGTTCGATTATAGTTGGTAGCCTTTATTTTTCAACATGATACAGTTACCTTTATAGTTTACTTTAAGGTGTCACTATAACTTACACTGTAGCCCAGCGGCATTTTTCTGAAGTTGTCCGGTGTTTTCTAGTCTTTCATGTGAGGCTGACAATACAATAATGTGTTGTAAATCTCTCCATGTAATGTTAGGACTGAAAAAGCGTTGTTATATACCAAGGTGATTTAGTAATATTCATCTTTTACCTTGCACAGAAATATCTTAGATATATTGACATTTTTATCTATAAACAATATAATATTGAATTCTAGATGACATATAACTTCATATGATAAATCTAACAAAGAGTCACACTTGTGAACGCTTTTGGATAGCTACAAATGATTGAGGTGTAATAATTTTATATCTTTTTACGAAACTATGAAACTGCTTTCATTTTGTTTAGTTTGAAATGACCACTTAAAAAATAGACAAAAGCTCAAAACGTGAATGTCATTATAACAGTCGAGCGTTCCATGGTTTTTATACTCACTTTGCCTGTAGAGTTAAAGCATTTATACCAGAAGCTAAAGCAGTTGAAGCAGATGTTCCCCTAAAATCATCACACTTGTTGTCGTGCGTTGTAGTCTCCTGTGTTAAGCAAAAGAAAAGAACAATCATGGTACCTTAATGACCTTATCGGGGCTACATTCTATTGGAACGTCCAAATTATTATTCATAATCAAACTGATGGAAATGGCCAAAAAGTTGTGACTGGGCTACATTAAGCTTAGGTTTACGAAATACATTTCATTAGACAAAAACGTCTCCAATAATTGAATCAAATAATCTATATAATGCACTGACAGCAAGAATTCTTCTTATGATTACATACTTGCCCCTTTTCACTTTCATTTGTGATGTATCAATGTAATTGAGGTCAATATCAAAGCGAACAGTTATATACTTAATGTTATTCTTGTGTGTATTTTCTCAAATATGTATTGAAATGTTACCAAGGGATGATACTGAAAATTTGTTTTTTGCGTACTTCTAATATTTCTATATACATGTACATAGCTTACTAGTTTCCCATGTCCGTTTAGAGTTTTAAACTCCCCGTAAGTGGATGCCAAGGTAGAGGCACATGGAATAGTATATGAGGGTCTTGATCCGTTCTTGCCAACACTTGAGATGGTGACAGTGTATATGCTGCTAGCCAGAGTTTCTATGTTACAATCATATATATGACCATGTCTATTTCCTGCAGAAAACACAAAGATGTTTCCTCTACCTTTTCGACCCTTTAACAGAAATAATAATTTGTGATTTTTTTACGAGAACAATGTACTAAGACATAAATCAATTACATTCATCAACTAGTTCAGAAACAGCTTGTGAGCATTCAAATTTAATATGTTACATTTTCATTCAAAAATAGTATAGATCATATGGTGACTTTCCAGCTATACTGTTGGAGGAAAATCTCAGGAGCCTTTCTGTGCATTATTTCAGCCACGAACGGACACCTTAGCAGAACCGCCGACATGCCGTAAGCTAGCTGGATAACTTCCTCGCATGAAAAAATGGTTTGAATCCAACTACCTTTACTACTCGGACACAGACGCCCCTTAAGGCATTACATTTGTATCCTTAGTTCAAAGACATAGAGCCCAAAAAGCAATCTAAATGAAGGAGAAAAGCAACAAGTTTTAGTTTTAATTTTTCAGCAACTTGTGTTGATTACTTTGCAGCCTAGGTTATTCTTTACTAGGAAAACACAACTTCAATTAACGAAATAATATTTACCTTTGTAACGCCTTCTTTTAGAGCTGATTTCATGTATAGTGAAGCCTTTCTAAATTTACCAGCTAGATTGAAACTGCATGAATATATATCTATTTCATCCCTTTTATAAACAATAGCTGATGGAATATGTTCTGTTGATAAGGCAAATCCATGAAACATCCATGATTCGGGACTGTCGCCAGGATGGAACACTTTTAAAGCTAAGATATCAAAATGGAACATTATCTTAAAATGCGAAAGATTAATGCATGATGAACGTTTCTACCGGTAATATCTTAACATATTTGTTTAGATTATTACGACAAATCAAATTGAAATAGTGCATAAGTGTACCTATAATCATTATAAGAAATCTTAGACGTCTCCTTTGACGGCCAGACAGGAAGCCGACCCGAAAATGATTAATATAAGCTTCCACTATTTGTTTCACAATCAAGCGAAAATTTATCTGTTTAAACTAAACACTAGTCGAAATTCTTATTTCGATGTTTAAAAAATCCAGAAACATTCGTTTATAAGATATATAAGATAAGTTAAATTTTTGCTATACTGGAACATTTAACACAATACTGTAAAAATTCTAAGCATCATTGAAGATATCGAAAATTTATTATTCATTAAATTACACAATGGTAAATACATTGTATACAAAAACACCAAAATGGAATTTAGATAAGTTTAATGTTTCTTGCACGTGTTGATTCAAGTAAAGAGATGTCTTGAATAATGTAAAAAAAGTAAACCTGCTACTTTTGACTCAAATGCTACTCCAGAAGAACATTTGTTGTTTCCAAACACAGCAGCAATTAGTCCGGCAGCCTTTGTGCCATGGCTACAAAATATTCATTTTACATCTTTGCATATCAAACAAAATAATCTATATCATTTCACTGTCTAACGATACTGGGGATGCTCATGCAATATACACTTATTATACAAAAAACCCTAATGTACGTAACTTTAAATGGACCTCATCATATTAAAAAAAGAGTATTTTAAGAGAATTGAGCTGTTTGACGAAGTTCACATGATTGAATTTGAATCGCCGATAAATTATGAAAAAGAGTGTAAAATGATATTTTTACAAATATTGTACAGTGTTAATTGTCGATCATAAGTTCAAAAGTTCTGTTTAAGGTTTCTACTATTTTCAACAAACACTCTCTGTCGGTCTGTCTCAAAGCCTTTTTTTGTTTTGTTTGTCAGTCCTTTTTTGTTTGTTTGTTTGTTTGTCTTTGGTTATTATTTCATTGAGCTCCTCAAGGACCGTTAAGTTTAAGAAACTAACAAATGTTTAATAATATTAATATAAAAGGTAAAAACGTCTTACCTAGTAGCTTCTGATGTTTCGATGAAGTCTCTAAAACGTGGAGGGTAAACATGGCTATGGTTTTTGTCAACGAAACTATATGAAAGATCACTGGCCTGAAAATGATTTATATACTCATATATATATGTATGTATATTATCAAATTAAGTAACATATTTAAAGTGGTCCACTTCTCGATTATATTGTAAAGATAAAATGTTTTTTTTTTATTAATTACCTTGACAAAAAACAAACATGCAACAGATATTGTTGCAAATTCATCTTTAGGGTTTGTAAATGCTGTGTATTATCCATGTTGCTTTCCGCTGATGGAGGTAATGAAGAAACAATATATTGATTAAGTAATGTGTACTATAATGTAACAAGTGAACACATTACAAGGCTCAGTATTCGGCTTTTCTATTATTTTTAACGCTTATTAATTCGTCACTATGATGCCCTCAGGTAAATGTACACTCTTCTATGGTATAAATTACTTGTGCTATCGTTCTTTCTAAGAACTAACAATGTTAGATTTTAAGTCAGGATGGTCCACTTCTACTCCAATATCAACAACTGCCACGCTGACGCCATGTCCAGTGTAACCAAGTGACCAGGCTTCTTGAACAGCCATTCCATAGTATGGCCAGCATTGGCCTTTCTGCAAATACCATGTAATGACAACACGTTTTAAGCTCCATGCTTCCAGAAGAGACAGAATGTTTAAAGAAAATCAAATTTGAGAAAAATGAATTAATATTTTAAGAAATATAAAAAGATTCAAGATTCAAGTAATTATGTTATGTGCTATTTATGACTGATTTTGCAATAATTATTTCCATATTTCTACGGTGTGACTAACGCACTAAGGGCTATGTTTGCATGTTTTGGGACCTTTTTGGTTATTTACGTGGATTGAAAGTACCGTTTGCAGCGTGTCAATTACTTTTGTTGTTCATTTCACAATATTTCTCTTTTAAATTCATTTTCAAAGTTTACATGAACATTTACATTAATGTTCGAAACTGTATTTAAAAGTAAAATATTGTGAAGTGCAAAAACATGTTATTCACTCACAACAAACGCCAATTGAAATCTACGAAATATCTCCAGAAAAGTTAAGTACAAGTATGCAAAACATATATGGTGATTAATACTTCAAATCAGTTTTAAATGGCATATAACATGTGAATTATTTCTTTAAATTATTTGAATTTGAATATTATTACTTTTCTTAAAGGCTGATTTACATGAAATCTTTTGACTAATCTTGAGACATGCAGCTCATTTCTTGTAACGGTGTAATTAAGTTGTTACATTTTATCGAAAACTAGTTCAGGAATATCCAAGAGCTATACATTTGTCAAAATAATAAACGAAATAATAAACGAAATATTCAAACTCTATTTGATTTGTTCTGTTTTAGTTATAACAACGTTTGTTTTTTTCGCATTTAGTGTTCAATGCATTGACTTTAACTTAAAGAATAACAAAAAAAAGAAACAAAAAAAAAACATGCAAAAAGCATTTCACCAAAGGATGTGGTGACTATTTATGTTCTTAGTCCACACATTTCAATACCAGATGATCTGTATTAAGTGTGCTGTGATTTAATACTACTCCCGAACCAGAACGTCTCTTAATGATGACATAAACGTATCTATATTCTAATTTATTATTATAGATTTGTTACTCACTATCATAATCGAATGTGGAAAATAATCAGTTATCTAACTCCACTTATCTGATCTTATCTATAATGGAATTATACTTGCATATGCAGATCTCTTGCGTCGGAGTATCCATCTGCTGAACATTGTTTTTGCTGGTTCACTGGTTTGGTTTCCTCCAGTATGATATCTAACGATTCCCTTTTCACTTTTTTCAATGTTTAAAATCTGAAATGAAAAACGTGTCTTTTATAAACTCATAAACATTCTTGTATTCTACTGTAGAATAAATTATTATAGATTCCTTATGTATAGCGTCTGGCCATTAGAGCTTGAATTTGGCACCTTGCATATCCTGAATCCCTTGCACATGAATAGACGATCACATCGTTTGGACTATATTCTGGTGAAATATAAAGTGTGTAAATGCATAATTCGCGTCCAAGTGCCCAGAAATTACGTGCATTGGCTTTCAATTGTCATTTTGAACTTATAGTTTACGTAGGCGGTCACAAAGGTAAAGAAACGTACTTATTTATAAGTTTCAACGTGTTCGTCGGTGGCCAAGACATGAGTTTATTGCAAAAAAGAAAGGTCGCAGTGCTAGAAGCAACGTGCATCCATGTTCTATAGAAAAATGTGTGTAAAAGTAACGATGCAACGCCGGGCAAGGGCTCAATAACATGCAATGTCCAGATCGTTTGAACATGAAAAGAGGCCCAACGTAGGGAGGTCCAAACGATTCCTTTTTACTTAGGAAGGAAACTGCGGTCATGGCATATAACAGACGCATTAGTTACTTGTAAACTGTTATTCGCATATTTTAAGTATTTAACGTGATGCAGGTGAAAATATGGTGTCACGACATACTTGTAATATTTACTAGTAATTACCTTGATTATAAATCTGATTGTATAACCTCAAATGTTTCTAAAAACCAAACACAGATTTAAACCAAAAACATGAAAGGTTGATAATTCTGTAAAATGAAATTAATGTTACCTTGTCAACGAAAAAGCCCTTGAAAGCCTTTATATCAACTGTGATGCCCTCTGTGGGCGACATATTCCCTTCGAACAAGAGTATATTGGATACAAGCTGCAATGGAATCAAAATCATATCATACTTACTTACAATTTTGTATAATGTATTAATTAATAATAACTTTTGTCTGCTTGAATGTAACAAACTATTTACATTTTATTTTGTAATCTTTTTGCAAGTTACAGTTTGCCTTTTGCTTAACTTGAGCACATGTGTTTACAATAACTGATGATAACCACTCAGATGACATCCTATTACTTACATATGATATTGAAATTATGATTGTTTTAACGCAGAAAACATACGCTTTTATTGTCGATCTACCTCAATAATTATGTTTATTTTATGCTTTTCAGTGGATAACTGACTTATCCGTGAAAATTATATTTGATAATTGCACAGTGAAAATTATCAAAATATAATTTCACACTTTTCAATGACGAAACTACTTTTTTAAGATTTTCCCCATGTGGTACCTCAATTTTATTTTTGCTGACAAATCTGACAATGTCAGGCTGTTTAAAGAAAAAGCAAAGCTGAAATTGATAATAGTATAAATGTCAAAAGTAATCAAAAGGAAAAAACTTACTTCTATTCATTCAAATACCAATCACCAAATTTAGTCTCTAAATTTTTTTTGTTTAATTTTTACAGTCTAAAAAATACATTCCTTCCACATGTAAAACTGCTCTTGATGACATTTAGGCATATAAAAGTATCCTACGAGCAATAACTGCCTTATGCTTTATGAAAAATTGAAAAGCAATGATAACCATTATCGTAGAATAAGTAAACAGCCCAGCGTTCCTGAACCATTTTCTAAGTTTTCCATTTTCCTAGCTGCTTTTTTAATTTTTTCACATCTGTCAACACTTATTTTCGTCTGTTACAATCCTCAAATAAGTTTTCTTTCTTTTAAAAGGTGTATGACTAACAAATCCAAATGATATCTCTCTGAATCAAACACAATTATTTTCCTCCCGTGAAATACACAACTTTAAAAAATGGCTGCCGCTTACATTTAACAAAGCTATATTGTAAATTCCTGGTAAAATTATCTCCTACAAGATCAATCAGATGATTAAAACCCCAACAAACGCCCCTCGTTCCGGGTAAGGCTTTATCTAAACACTCACATGGCGATAAGTCTAAACCCAGTGCAAACGTCCGAAGCTAGTGCTTATTTTCAATTAATACTACATCATAACATTTACGTCTTTTTATATTATAAATCTACAAAGAGAGCGTGTATAGCTATACACCAAGTTTAAAACACCCTACGAGTTTTAACTACTTTCTTTAATCTGACCATTTTTTATTTATTTTTTTTTTCTTTGGTCAATTTTAATTTTTATAATTTTTTTTAAAAGAACAGTAAGGGTAATACTAATTACCTCTCAACTTTAAACGTATTATTGAAAACGATAAAAGCAAGATAAATGAAAAACATTTTTTTAAGATACCATTAATTGTAGCACATATCTTTTATTTATGTACGTCTTATATGCTAGTATATATCTGCCATATCTGTAATTGCACTGTGCATTTTGCCGCATGGGTCGTTCACATACTGGTTTGATATGAATAAAACTTGTAAAACTTATCTTCAACAATACTGCTAACTTGGTACATTTTCTTTACGGTGTAATTATGTTTTTACATATCTGGCACGTTTTAACCCACGTATTTTTGTTAGACTGTATCATATAAAGCTACAGTCTCACTTACATCCCGGCAAAGTCCCGGGAGAGCCCCGGTAGACGTCCGGGGTGATCCGGGGACGACCGGGGTACGACCGGGAACAACCGGGGTACATCCGTAACTCTGCCGGCAAAGTCCTGGATGGTCCGGGATGATCCGGGAACATCCGGCATTCGACCCCGAGACCTTACCGGGATGGTCCTGGGCTCTGGGAGTAAGTGAGACCGAGGCTTAAAATAGAATTACAATGTCTACATGTAATACTGCACATATCCAGAAGCGTAGAAAAATGTGGGTTTTTTCTCTATCATGATTTTTAATTTGTTTTAATGTTTCTACCGGTAAAATCTTGATCCCATACTAACTTGCCAACATCACAATATTCAAAGTCACGCGCCGTTTTGAAGCAATACTGCGAAATTATATCCGGCTAACAGAACATCTTTAAATTTTTCGGAAGTGACGTTGAAATAGCTAATTGAAATATTAAACATTTTCATAATATGTAAACAGCGCAAATTGTTATAAATTACGTAAACTAACAAAAACCCTGTCATAACATAATCATTCTCAGCATAATCATTCTCAGTTGACTTTTGCTATATAATGATAAATAAATAATGATTTATAACGTTTATTAACCAACGATTGTTTACCTTTCTGACATATTTAAGTCCAAATCTTTGTGACTCTAGTGTTACTGTATCTATCCATTTCTCCTGTATTTGAATAATGTATTCCTGCTTCCGAATCTTGTCTTTCTTTTCTAGCACTTCTGAAAATGCTAGAACAATAAAAAATATTAAATACCACATATAAACAAAATATTTCATTATCTACAAAGAAAATTTGTCGCGGTAGTCAAAATGATAATGGTTGAGTTAATTTAACCATGTTGTTATTGTTTAACCTTTCGAATACAGGTTTCGGTTTTATCGCAAGCTTACATTTTTATCTATACGCATTAGTCATATTGTCGGATGATGTTTTCATAACTCATCCGTTTATCTTAATGCGCAGTTATTGACTTTTCATTAATAATGTACTTCGTACTGGTTAACGACCAAGTCAAGTGCTTCTTAATGACTAAGTTCAGTTCTGATTAACGACAGAGTCCAGTACTGGTTAATGACCCAAGTTTAACACTTGTCAATGATCAAGTCCAGTACTGGTTAATGAACAAGTCGGGTACTGGTTAATGATCAAGTCAAGTACTTGTTAATTACCAAGTCAAGTACTGGTTAACGATCAAGTCAAGTACTTCTTAATGACCAAGTCGAGTACTGATTAAAGACCAAGTCCAGTTCTGGTTAATGACCAAATCTAGAACTGGTTCATGATCAAGTCCAGTACTGATTAATGAACAAGTCAAGTTCTAGTTAATTACCAAGTCTATAACTGGTTAATGACCAAGTTAAGTATTTGTAAATGACCAAGTCAAGTACTAGTTAATGACCAAGTCTAGTACTGTTAAATGATCAAGTCTAGTACAGGTTACTGACCAAATCAAGTACTTGTAAATGACCAAGTCAAGTACTAGTCAATGACCAAGTCTAGTATTGGTAAATGATCAAGTCAAGTACTGGTTTATGACCAAGTCTAGAAGTGGTTTATGATCAGTTCAAGTACTGGTTAATGACCAAGTCTTGTACTGGTTAACGACCAAGTCAAGTAGTAGCTAATGACTGCGTCTAGAGTACAGGTCAATGACTAGTCCAGTACTGGTTAATGACTAAGTCATGTACTGGTAAATGATCAAGTCTAGTACTGGTAAATGATCAAGTCTAGTACTGATTAATGATCAAGTCCAGTACTGGTTAATGAACAAGTCAAGAACTGGTAAATGACCAAGTCAAGAATTGGTTAATGACAAAGTTTAGTAATGGTTAATGACCAAGTCAAGTACTGGTTAACGACCAAGTCAAGTACTTCTTAATGACCAAATCTATTACTGATTAACGACAAGGTCCAGTTCTGGTTAATAAACAAGACTAACACTGGTTAATGATCAAGTCCAGTACTGGTTAACCCTTTTCCTCATGAGCATATTGTGAAAAATGGCCGTTTTCACTGAAAAGCCTCCTGTTACAAGTTCAAACTGCTATGAAACTATGAAAAATGCTTCAATACTAATATAACTTGGCACAAATATTGACTGGACCATTGCCTTTGTAACGACATGCTTAATCGTAAATTTCCTGTTATCATGGCAACGAGGGGACATCTCAAAATTGCCAAAAATCAATATTTTGCCTCGATTTTTCTATCAAAATTTATTTCAAAGTGCTGCAACTTCTCAAGGGATTGAGAAAGGGTCAAAGGCTTTTAAGTGTTGGTTACACGTTACCTTATGATCGACCTGGGGTCATTTTTAGCCTTTCACAAGTACAAAATTTTCTTGGCTATGAGGGGGAATCCGATCCCCCTTCAAACCGCCCAAACAGAAGGGGGACATCCCCCTTTTGGCAACCCCCTGATGTATCTGTTGGATGGGGGGCGCCGCCCAAATAGTGCTCACTTTTTAGCAACATTTCTCAAACGAAGACATGTGTTTGGGGCCAAAATCAAAATAGGACATTTTTTCACTATTTCAGGCCTAAAAAAAGGGGGGTGGGGTCGAAAGTGCGTTGTTTCGCGTATATATGAGGTAACGGGTTAATGAACAAGTCAAGTACTAGTTAATGACCAAGTCTAGAACTTGTGAATGACCAAGTTAATTACTTGTAAATGACCAAATCAAGTACTTGTAAATGACCAAGTCAAGTGCTAGTTAATGGCCAAGTCTAGTACTGGTTAATGATCAAGTCTTGTACTGGTTTATGACCAAGTCTAGAACTGGTAAATGATCAGTCAAGTACTGGTAAATGACCAAGTCTAGAACTGATTAATGACCAAGCTAAGTACGTGAAAATGACTAAGTCAAGTAGTACTAGTTAATGACCAAGTCTAGTACTGGTAAATGATCAAGTCTAATACTGGTTAATGACCAAGTCAAGTACTTGTTAATGACCAAGTCAAGTACTAGTTAATGGCCAAGTCTAGTACTGGTTAATGATCAAGTCGAGTACTGGTTTATGCCCAAGTCTTGTACTGGTAAACGACCAAGTCAAGTACTAGCTATTGACCGGGTCTAGTACTGGTCAATGATCAAGTTCAGTACTGGTTAATGACCAAGTCATGTACTAGTTAATGACCAAGTCTAGTACCGGTAAATGATCAAGTCAAGTACTGATTAATGACCAAGTTAACTACTGGTAAATGACCAAGTCCAGTACTAGTAAATGACTGAGTCAAAAACTGGTAAATGACCAAGTCAAGTACTGGTTTATGACCAAGTCTAGAACTGGTTAATGATCAGGTCAAGTACTTGTTAATGACCAAGTCTTATACCGGTTAACGACCAAGTCAAGTTCTAGCTAATGACCAGGTCTAGTACTGGTCAATGACCAAGTCCAGTACTGGTTAATGACCAAGTCATGTACTGGTAAATGACCAAGTCTAGTACTGGTACATGATCGAGTCTAGTACTGGTTCATTACCAAATCATGTACTGGTAAATGACCAAGTCTAGCACTAGTAAATGACCGAGTAAAAAACTGGTTAATGACCAAGTCAAGTTTTATTGATAACCAAGTCCTGTACTGATTAATGACCAAGTCTAGTACTTGTTAATGACCAAATGCAGTGCTACCAGTATTAATTCATGACCAAGTCTAGTATGGGTTAATGACCAGGCCATGTACTGATTAATGACCAAGTCTAGTACTGGTTAATTATCAAGTCACGTACTTGTTATTGAGCAAGTCTAGTACTAGTTAATGACCAAGACTAGTCCTGGTTAATGACCAAGTTAAGTACGTTAAGAACTGGTTAATGATCAAGTCTAGTAGTAGTTAATGACCAAGTTTAGTACTGGTAACTGGTAAATGATCAAGTCTAGAATTGGTTAATGACCAAGTCCAATACTGGTGAATGATCAAGTCTAGAACTGGTTAAGGACCAAGTCTAGTACTTGTTATTGACCAAGCCTAGTACTGGTTAATGACCAAGACTAGTACCAGTTAATGACCAAGTTAAGTATTTGATAATGACAGAGACCAGTACTGGTTAATGACCAAGTCAGTACTGGTAAATGATCAAGTCTAGTGCTCGTTACTGACCAACTCCAGTACTGGTTCATGACCAAGTCAAGTACTGATTGTCGACCAAGTCCTGTACTGGTTGTCGACAGTATATAAACTATCTCGAATATAAAAATATTGCAACAATGTTCGTTTAGAATAGAGTTTTACCGATATATTATGAACAATATTTACAGAAATATCCGTTGGTCAAGTAAATAATTGTTTTTTTTAGAGTAACATAAATTGAATAAATTTATGGCAAAATTTCAAGTTTTTTTTTTATTTGAACCTGTTCAGTGACCATTTGCACCTGAATATGTGACACATTAAAGTCCCATTATGCCTCAGAAATATTTTCTTTTTATTTCTCAAAGTTTTTTAATATTTTTGGTGTATTTCTATAGTTCAAGAAAATTACTTATTGACCAGTTATCTGAAACATGTTTTGCACCTGATGCTTTTTGGAAACTATTATACTTAAAGTGAATAAGTATTTTATATTGAAGGCAAAATACTTCTTTGTTTACATTTCATTTTGCTACTTTTATGACAAATTATTTCACATTGATCGCTATTCCTTCAGGTTTAAATCATCTAACATGCTCTTAATCATTATTTATACGTCATAAAATTCAGTTTTGCCTTTTCTAAAAAAAAATAGAAATATTCGTTACTGAGGAATTATGTGACTTTCAGAGAAGTACCTGTATGGTCAGCTTTAATAAACGCTGCGCTATGACGCTATGGCGTTACAAAATTATAATCGACAGGTTTAATTTAATTGTTCTGTAAGCCAAGAAAACCTTGATCATGCAATATACAATGCTTGGCAGAAAAATCACGACAAGGCTGACCCTTCTTAAGATTCAACTTTCTTCTTAATATTTCCATTATTACATCAACTTTGAAATTTTGAAATATTATCAATATGATGTCCAAGTCGTCTTTCAAAAAAGGGTGTTTTTTTCAGCCGAACGTGAAATATTTTTACCCCATCTTTTAGACACTTGCTTTTAATTTGTGCTTTTTAAAATCCTATTTGATTAAACATCTTGTCAAAACACATTGTGAATCATTTAACAACATGAGCACCTTGGAAACAACATCATATAAACTACTTGAGTTAAACCATTTTAAAACTAAATGGTTTAATTACTTAAACATGCTTCAAAGCGATAAATTTGTTTAATGTTTCTTACCTATATTCAAAGTATGAATAAAAAGTTAATGAGTATAAGAAAACACCAGAGCCAGGTCGTTTATGGGACAGATAATAGGATCAACTTCAGAAAAAATATAAATACATTTAATTCTGAAAGTATTTCAATCTAATACAAAGGCTTAATAATAAATTCGAAAGAGTTTACAAATCAAACAGATAGAAGAATCAAAATAGACAAAATACACTGGCACATAAGGACTCGAGGAATACATTCTTCATCGTTACAAAATACTTCTCATAAATGTAGATGTTTACACGGTTTTAATAAATAGCTTAAATTAAAGATATACTATGCTAATCTTTGAGAAAATAGTTTTATCGCAGAAATTTATCGAAATTAATGAAATGTTTACTTAATATACCTAAATTGATTTTAACAATGTAAACAAGAGCCATATCAACATGGCCATCCCCGCCGAATGTGTTTGCTCATTGGAAGAATGTTTATGTAGTAGAGCAGAATAATTCCATTTTAAGAGGTCTTTTGGTAATGAAAACTGATGGCTATAGTGATTACAGATTTGAAACCTATGTGAATACTGATGGTTGAAAATAACAAAGGGCAATAACTGAAAAATAATGCAGGGTAGGTTATCATTCTTGTGTGCTGCATCCCTCCTCAGTAAAATCTATCCATCTTGGAAGTTTCAAGTTGATACCTCAAATAATTTTGAGAAAAAATTGTATTGAAAAATTAAGTATGAAAAATAACAAAGGGCAATAACTCAAAAATTATAAAAGGTAGAGTTATCATTCTTGTGCACTGCACACCTCCTGAGTTAGATCTATGCACCTATGAAGTTTCATGTTGATATCTCAAAGGCCTTTTGAGTTATGCTCTGGACAAAAATTAATTTTGAAAAATAACAAAGGGCAATAACTAAACAATTATGCAGGGTAGAGTTATCATTCTTGCTGTGCACTGCACTCCTCCTCAATAAGATCCATCCAGCTATAAAGTTTCAAGTTGATACCTCAAATACTTTTTGAGATAAGCTCCGGACAAAATAGCATGAAAAAGAACAAAGGGTAATAACTCAAAAATTGTATAGGGAAGAGTTATCATTCTTCCGCACAGTATTGCTCCTCAATAAGATCTATCCACCTATGACATTTCATGTTGATATCTCAAACACTTTTTGAGTTATGCTCCACTCAGGTGAAAAATTAAGTATGAAAAATAACAAAGGGCATTAATTCAAAAATTATGAAAGGTAGAGTTATCATTCTTGTGCACTGCACACCTCCTGAGTGAGATCTATGTACCTATGAAGTTTCATGTTGATATCTCATAGGCTTTTTAAGTTATGCTCTGGACAAAAATTGATTTTGAAAAATAACAAAGGGCAATAACTCAAAAATTATGCAGGGTAGAGTTATCATTCTTGTGCACTGCACTCCTCCTCAATGAGGTCTATCCACCTATGAAGTTTCAAGTTGATAACTCAAATACTTTTGACATATGCTCCGGACAAAAATGTCGGACGGAAGGACGGACGGACGTTCTCACAGGACAGTAATTATGTGGCTACTCTATTGTTCTCTCTATTGTTCTTTTTAGCCACGTAAAAGAAAATAGCCACATAAAAGCATTACGGAATGAATGACATCAAAGAGAAAGAACAGTTACCTATTGTCCCTCTAGCCACATAATTACTCTCCTGTGAGTGCGGACGGACGGATGGACGGACGGACGGACGGACAGAGACTATTACTATATCCCCCGCCGCCTTTTCGGCGGGGGATAATAAACACTATGTAAACACTAGGTACAGGAAACTGCAATCCCTATTGCGGGTCAAGTAAATAAAGTTGTTCCTTTTCTTTAAAAAAAACGTTATTTTTATTTTTCTTTTAATCACAAAGAGACAGTGTATCAATTTTCAACGTCTTCAAATTTGAGCATGATATATCTTTAGCAATATAATATTATCACTTTTAATAGGCATGATTTTATGATACTGATTAATACAAAATATAGAACATAAGCGCCTATGATACTGGTATCAAAGAATCAATATTATTTGAAAAGGTTACTCTAAATACAGAACATCATTGTGACCCGTAATTTGGAAACGCAAAAGTATACGACAAATAATGATGATACATGTATATAATTATAATTATCCGAGGTATGGCAGAAAAAGACAAAAATAAAACAATATAAAAAATGGCATCAAAATCAACATATTATTATTTCAATAAATCACCAATGATCCATGAGCATTACATTTACATCAATATAACATGGAATCAATTAATACATACATGGCAAGATGGCTAATATCAAATAAATACTTGAGCAAAAATATCAGTGTAATAATTGAGGCATGGATAAATGCCGAACTAGAAGCACAACCCTATTTGTACGGGAGAATATCAAGAAAGGTTCCGTACGTACTACGTCCCAGCTACCTTGAATTCATTTAAATAGCAGCCAGCTAGAATAGTTGATATTATAATGAAAGGAGCGACGATGAAAATTAAAAGCACTTTATAGCTGATAAATCCTTGGCTCGACTCTTTCATATAATCTTGAGTGTTTTCTCTAGAATTCTCTGAAAGATCATTTATCACATAATGTTTAAACCTGCTATACCACTCAGTTAGATTAAAAAATTCCTGCTCTTTCAAGTTATTATTCTCATCATAATGCACGTTATAAAATCTCTCTGAGGGGTTGTGTGATGTTCCATATAACGTTAATGCAACTCTTTGCAGTTTTAACAATTCTGAAAAACATAATGATATTGCTATTGTTAATATAATACTATACAACATTTCTGTCAAATTTACAACTGAAAACAACTTGAAAATAACAAATTAATCAAACATTTAGGTTGTTTTCGATAATAAAACATGGAACATTTTAAATATCAGATACGTACCATAATCAAGATGATTGCTCTTATGAACAATCAGAACCCAATGTCCAGTAGGATTTTCTCCCCAAAAGTGTACTGATGTGTAATTCCAGTATCGTTTACCATGATATGAGTTAGTTTTGTAATCATGTTTCCCGTCATAGGCTTTCTTGTTTAGTAAAAGTGAGCAGGAATTCGACGGCGAACAAAGCAATATGTCCAACAAAGCTTCAAACTGTTTATCATATTTCAGCTCTACTTGTACATGCTCCAAGAAATTCACACATTGTTCACTCTTTTCACATGGTCCGACTTGAGCTGTTACAGCTATCGCATCTTGATGGAGTAGCCTAAAATATAAAAGTAAAGACCAATAGAATTTATTAAAAATTATGAATACTTGTGTATGATCAAAAAGTTCACGGTCCGATATAGTTCTAGCCACTACACTGACATTAACACACGATACGTCGATACGTTACACGCGGTTTTATAGAGATTAAGTAACATAAAACACACTTTGATCAGTAAAAAGATGTATCATTTAGACCAAATGGAGAAAGTTGAAATCAGATCAGTCATTAAGTACCTCTGTACGAAAGGGATGTCCCCAAAGAAGTCCATGAAGACTTCATGGATACACTTGGGAAGGTGTCACCTTCCTATGCACTGTGACAAAATGGGCTGCTGAATTTAAGAGAGGCAGGGAGAGCATTGGAGAGATGAGCGGCCTGGGCGGCCAAAAAAGGCCACCAACTATGAAACTGCCGAAGCTGTGCACGATCTGGTCATGTGCGACAGAAGGCAAGACATGCGAAGCATTTCTATTGAAGTGGGTATAAGCTTTGGTTCAGTTCAGGCAATTCCAGACTGATATCCATGGCATGTCAAAGGTTTCCGCTAGACAAGTTCCCAAGACAGTTGACTGACAACCAGAAACGGAGAAGCCTTGATATTTCAAGATATCGTTTGTCTCGCTACGAGGATGAAACTGATTTTATCTACCAGAACGTAACTAAGGAAGAAACATGAATCAATCACTCCGATCAAGAATCCAAAATAACAGAGCATGCCATGGGAGCACTCTGGCTCACCCCATTTGAAAAAATCCAAGAGGCTGCCGTCAGCAGGGAAACTGGTGGCTTCAATTTTTGGGCCAGTCAGGGGATACTCATGATTGACTATCTTGAGCAAGGTGGTACTATATTCGATACGTTTTATGCAGATGAATTGAGACGTCTGCGTCAAGGTCAAGAAATCGCGCCGCGCGTAAAAGGAAGGACAAACGGACTCAAGGCGTTCTGCTTCTGCACGACAATGCGCCAGCTCACACATCATGAGTTGCAATGCTGCTGTAACTGACTGTGGCTTTAAAATTCTTCCCCATCCTCCATATTCTCCGGACTTGGTCCCCTCTGACTTCTACCTACTTCCGAAACTGAAAACCAAGCTTCGTGGTAGACATTTTGGAAGCATTGAAGGTGTCATAGAAGGAGGTCAATGAATTCTTTGAGGACCAAAATAGAGAGTTCTATTTTGGAGGATTAAAGTTGGAGCACAGGTGGGCAAAGTGCATTGATGTAGAGGGCGATTTTATTGAAAATTAAGACCATAAGTTGGATTCTCTGACTTCTTTAAGTACATCGGGCCAATAACTTTTTGATCAATCCTCGTAAATCTTAGAATATTGTGGGTATTATAAAACAAAGTGTGTTTATAAGTAAGTCTTCTGTAAAGCTTATTTTACTAATAAGTTTTGTAATAACTGTTAAATTGCATAGTTGGCGTATTTACACTGTTTTGTAAAGTTCTCATTTACTTCTTCATTTGAGCAAATATCTAACCAGAAAAAAATCATTTTAGCGCGCTTTGTAAGATATTTGGCAATTTGTACACGGGTGGCGCTTTTTCAGTTTTTACTACTAAGTACTGACCCCAATTATATACAAACAATATCGGGAAGTTCTTGCCCTTTAAGTCTGGCATCTTATTAAAATCTGGAAACAAAGTGATCCCTTGGAAGCATTAATCACAACAAAATTACATAAGAATTGCAGACTCGGTTTGATTTAGTCTGTACATGAGGGATACTGTAAAGTGCAACATCCCTCATGCCCCCTAGCACCGGCTTGAGCGGTACTCAATTCTCAACACTTAATAGTGCTGGCATCAATGATCCCGATGAACCAGAAAAATATATATACACTGAAGTGAAGTACGGGGCAACTTTTTACAGCTGCCAAACAGCACTTGACACCTGCTGTTGTGAAGTATAAAAATCTGGAAACAAAGTGATCCCTCGGAAGCATTAATCACAACAAAATTACATAAGAATTGCAGACTCGGTTTGATTGAGTCTGTACATGAGGGATACTGTAAAGTGCAACATCCCTCACGCCCCCTAGCACCGGCTTGAGCGGTACTCAATTCTCAACACTTAATAGTGCTGGCATCAATGATTCGATGGACCAGAAAAATATATATACACTGAAGTGAAGTACGGGGCAACTTTTTACAGCTGCCACACAGCACTTGACACCTGCTGTTGTGAAGTCTAAAATTTTGGAAACAAAGTGATCCCTCGGAAGCATTAATCACAACAAAATTACATAAGAATTGCAGACTCGGTTTAATTGAATCTGTACATGAGGGATACTGTAAAGTGCAACATCCCTTATTAAATCAGATTTTCCACAGAAGCAACATTAGTTTTTGTAGCAGCAATCTTACGCTGACCGGGGCAGGGCCTCTGTTATGTCTGTTTTACCACTTTAAATGTTTCTTGCCAACTATACAACACAGAGGCTCATATATCTGTGAAGCTGATACATTATACCTTTAATATAAAACCCTTTTTCAAAGTTTGACGCACTTCTCATTGAACTTGCAGTATAAGAGCTAAATAACTACACCTATTGGAATTTCCAATAACTTTCGAAAGACCTCGTGAAAATTTTCAATTTGGTATTATTCATACCCTCTCTACATGAAATATCCACATTTTTACATAATTAAAAAAAACACAGCTTAGAGGCGCATCAGTGACACAATTCAATGAACTTTCATCCGATTATTTGACAATGATAATATATTCAAACCTGAAGAGTAAATCTAAGAGTATATGAAGTAATTTGTCAACACACATTTTGTTTTATAATTCATATAGTAATTGACGGTTTTGTGGTTCAGTCAGCAATACTTACCGATTTTCTCTTTTTGTTTCGTATACTGTAGTTTGTATTTGAAGTGGTACAGTCGACCATTTTTCAGCCAACAATGCCATAGCCGTAGCATTCATCAATCCAAATCCAAAGAAAGAAGTATCTACAAAATTCACATATTCACATTTGAAGGTTTATTATGCAAACCAGTTATTTTTCAACTTACTTCTGACATTGCAACAGCACAAGTTTACTTCAGCTTTATCCAGCATAATTATGTAAACAACCTGGTGTGTTTTGTACATTTATGATCCAACTTATCGAATTTATGTGATTAATATTAGCAGTATTATTCAAATGTCATGAAATGTTTCAAAAGATTTACTCTCACTTTGAACTTAATAGTGTGCATTCTATCGAAAGTCTTTCGAGTAATTAATATTTTAAAAAGAGGCCCCCGTGACCAAGTTAGTGGTTATGGTCGTTTACCGCTCGTCCTTGAAACAATGCACAGATGTCATCTTCCACTATTTAAGCTTGGAAATAGCTGTATTATCTTTCCTGCATTGGTGTGACTTAATCAAAGTAAGAAAAATCTGGAAACAATGTGATCCATCGGAAGCATTAATTACAACAAAATTACATGAAAGTTGCAGACTCGGTTTGATTGAGTCTGTACATGAGGGATAATGAATAAGTGCAATATCCCTCACGCCCCTAACACCGGCTTGAGCGGTACTCAATTCTCAACACTTAATAGTACTGGTATCAATCAAGTGACAGTTTAAAACGTCGAAAAAACATTGTCTATAAAGATACGCTTTAGAATTTTCGAGCTGTTGCAAATAATAATTATTATATAAAATTACCATATTTTTCACGGCTTCCATTTTAATAAATCCTGTATTATTTATCTAATAATTTCATGTATATTCTTATGATGCATCTACACGCGAATACAGTGATTATTCCCGAAGCATATATGCATTTATTTTATATTTTAATGTTACCCTTAACTGCAAATAGTTATAACTCAAAAGCACTTAAGTTCTTCCATTAGGTGTATTAATGCTAACGTCATATGATATCATGAAAACTGTTGTAAACCTACATTAAGGTTAAATTGCATGTATTTGATTTGATTATTTGAAAGTGTCGTGTCTTCGAGTATTTACATATCAGCTTACACTGTAGCCCGGCAGCATTTTTCATTAGTCTTCCGACTCTTCCGGTATGTTCAAGTCTTTCGTGAGAAGAAGATAGTACAATTATGTGTTGAATATCTCTCCAAGTCAGCTCGGGACTGAAAAAGTAAAAAACGTTCCAAAATATCTCAAGTCTATTTTTGTTTATAAATATTATGCAGCAGATTAAATATAATATGCATAAAAGTGTATACAATGTATAGATTTACATATTCTTAGCAGCTCCATATTATTTTATTCATAACTAAAACACCAGGCCCTTTTCATTTTTTTTAAATAAATTGTATATTTGTTTTACTAACGAAGATTGATCGAAAAGTTCTAGGCCCGATGTACTTCCGGAAGTTAGAGAACCAAAATAAATGGTCTTACTTTTCAATATAATAGCCCTCTACATCAATGCACTTTGCCCACTTGCGTTCCAATTTGTTTAACCCTTCAAAATAGAACTCTCTTTTTTGGTCTCTCTATTTTGGTCCTCACAGAACTTATTGACCGCCTCCATGACACCTTCATGCTTCCAAAACGTGTACCACGAAGTTTTGTTTTCAGTTTTGGAAACAAGTAGAAGTCAGAGGGGTCAAGTCCGGAGAATATGGGGGATGGGAAAGAATTTCGCAGACAGTTGCAGCAGCCATTGCAACATGGGATGTGTGAGCTGGCAGATTGCCCCTCCTTTTACTCGCAATTACTTGACGCAGTCGTTTCAGTTTGTCTGCATAGTACGTACCGTTTATGGTACGACGTTGCTCAAGATAGCCAATCATGATTATCCTCTGAATATTCCAAAAAATTGAAGCCATCATCTTTCCTGCTGATGAAACCCTCTTTTATTTCTTCGGAAGGGGTGAGCAGGTGCTTCCACTCCATGCTCTGATTTTTTGGATACTATCCGGTAGATAAAATCAGGTTCATCCTCGTAGCGAGACGTTTCTGGTTGTCAGTCAACTGTCTGGGGACCCATCTAGCGGAAACCTTTGACATGCCATAGACATCAGTCAGAATTTCCTGAACTGAACCAAAGCTTATACTCACTTCCCTAGCAATGCTTTGCAATTCTCGCCTTCTGTTGCACATGACCAGATCGTGCACAGCTTCGGCAGTTTCATCGTTGGTGGCCTCTTTTGGTCGCCCAGGCCACTCGTCTCAAATGCTCGCCCTGCCCCTCTTAAATTCAGCAGCCCATTTCACAGTGCTATAGGAAAGGGACTCCTTCTCAAGTATATCCATGAAGTTTTCATGGATTTCTTTGGGGGACATTCCTTTCTTACAGAGATACATAATGACGGTTCTGATTTCAACTTTCTCCATTTGGTCTAAATGACACACACCCCTACTGATCAAAGTGTGTTTTATGTTACTTTATCTGTATAAAACCGCGTGTAACTCAGTCAGTAATCTTCAATAAGATATGGGTATCGACGTATCGTGTGTAAATGTCAGTGTAGTTGCTAGAAGTATATCGTGCCGAGAACTTTTTGATCATACGCTCGTATATATATTTTACCTATTGAACAGTATCAGTTCATTGCCAATTAATCAAAAGGACATACAATTTGAGTAATATTTATGTACATTTATATAATTGAATCAATACGTGACTAATAATCGGACAAATTGTGTATAACTTACTTTGCTTGTAAGGTTAAAGCAATTATTCCAGACGCTAAAGTTGTTGATGCTGAAGTTCCTTTAAAGTAATCGCACATGCCATCGTGACTTGTAGTTTCCTTAATGAAGAGGTGTAATTAGTTTTGTACCAGAAATAATGATAATTATATTAAGTTTTAGAAGTATGCTTTTAGATACAAACTAAATTGGGTAATATCTTTCGAGTTAACATAGTAAATGTATTTTTCATAGCTGATTTTTTAATTGGCCAGATAGAATGAAAACATATGGTATTATAAAGAATTATTATATATAGCTGAATTTCTAAAGTGGCCTCACCAAAGTCTTTGGACCTCTGAGTGTATTAAACTCTCCATATGTAGAAGCCAAGGTAGTGGCACAGGGTATAGCATAAGAAGGTATCGAGCCGTCCTTGCCAACACTAGAAATTGTAATCGTATAAATACTGTTTGCAAGAGCTTCCATGTTACAGTCATAAACCGGACCTTTTTTATTTCCTGCAGAAAATACAAAAATGCTCCCCTTACCCGCTCTGCCCTATACAGAGAAAAAAATAAAAATATGATTTAATTATATATATGCTGTGATGATAGAAATATTGGTTTAAAAGGCAAAAAATTAGCATTCGTTGGTTAACTTAAAATCATATCGGCATATCAATACTAGAGGTGTTTCAGATTATCATTAACATAGACCGCATTCAACACCGTGTTTGTTTTTTGATACATTTCGAAAAAGGTAATAGTTTTGTAAATCGAGTAAATGGATATCTCAGAAATATGTTTTATTTGAAATATTTATTAATAAAACTGTATGTGCTAGAAGTCGTAGCGTACCAGGAGAACTGTAATAGAACCATCTGTTTCATTTCATTCTTTTTTCATGTTGATTTTCCTATTTCATTTAACACTTGCATAGATCAACAAAGGAAGCAGATGTCAATTAATTACTTAAGATAAATGACATGCATAAGCTGTTATTGTATATATTTAAAGTGAAATTAAGGAAATTGATCAATGTTTCTAAACATACCTTTAGAACTCCTTCCTGTAACGCTGTCTTCATATCTGGGGTTGCCGATTTGTATTTATTATGGAGATTGAAACTACAAGAGTAAATATCTATGTCTTGTCGTTTGTATTCAAGTGCAGAAGGGACATTAACTATTGAAAATGGAAATCCCTCTTTTATTGCCAAACTGATGTAATGCTTGTTTATTTGGAACACTTTTAGAGCTGAAAGGGAAATTAGAAATCGTCATTCTACGTCATCAAAGTGTAATCATGAAACATAGGTCAAACTACTACAACTTAATTGAAAGTTGAAAGTTTCTCCTTCTTACCACGAGAATACATGTACACCAATAAGATAATCAAATGATGCCGCTGTAGAACAAACAATGATTTCTTCAAACGAAATACAAATAACGGAACGCAGTATTATCAATTTGTACGTTTTGTTACGAGCTAAACGTAACAGAGAAGATAACAAAGCAACAAATATTACAATTTTAATTGAAGAAAAACAGAAAAACAGTTATTTACAATAGTATAAGAATTATGAAAATAAAGTTTAACTAACTATTATCCAAGACCTCGAATTTAACAAATGTCCTAAAGTTTAACTCACAGTTCAAAATTCAATTGTCCACAACTCAGATATTATCAATGTCAAATGTCCACAGCAGAATAAATACAATAAGTCCAAAGTATCCAATATGTCCCACACAGAATTACAAATCCAAACATATGTATTGCTATGTTAGCAGTACAATAGCACACAATCAGTATATCAATATCACACAACACCACAAAATAGCACACAGCTCGAAGTACAAACATTCATCATACATATACTATCAGTGAACAACTTTGAATACTAAACTATTAGAGAAAGAATATTCCAGAATGAACATGAAGAGAACTTTCTTTGAAAGAAGATGAATCAACATGAACAATTATGTAAACATTAAATTAATAAAATTATTAAAAATAATAGTGACCTTAGGCGAAAGGAGAGGACATGCAACGTGCAAAACAATATAAACCAACGGGCCATACGGGAACCCAAAGGGACAAGGGTCGTAATGGTGAAAGGGGAGGGGGTCAAAAATGGGAGGGTGTGTGAGAAAATACCTACCGTTAACGACAATTCAACAAGGCATAATATCACAATACATGTAAACATTCAAAAAAATAACAACACAGACATGAAAACACGTGAAAGATCATAGAGTGGTACCGCCTTGGAACGGTCAGTGGTAGTTAAATCGGGATTAGGCGCGCAAAACCTCATTCTTAACCCCAATATGTTCCTGAATGACACGAAAGTGTAAATAAAATTAATCCCCGCCGAGTGAAATTCTAACAATGGTCATGGTTACTTTAGACGAAATAAATAAAACACAGAAAAGATTTTGTAAATATGTAGAAAAAGGTACAGCCTATTGACCATTACCAAAGTACTCGATGACTTAAAGGAAGGCAGAGCAACAGGAAAATCACCGACAAGGGCCCGACGAAGCAAGACAGAAGACGAACATTAAGACAATATAGTCCCAAAGGGTTTTAAGAACTGTCCATCATAGAGTCTCCCACTTAGTCGTCAGATGTAATTAAAAGAGGAAAGAGTAGCGTCCAACTGTAAAAAGGTTGAACACCAAGCATGCGGTATGCCTTAGAATAATTGGGTCATAACCTCTTTTAATAAACCGTTTGATAATTTTAGTGAAGACGGCAGAAAAATTACTATGCGTCGTAAAAGAGTTTTCAAATAACAATTAAATTTCAAAACTAAATCTGAATTACGATGGTAAAACTTCGTAAAATATTTGCGCAATTTATGATAACGATAACCTTGTTTAAGATGTTTGCTAGTAATAAATAAATTGCGTAACACGTAGATTTTAGTTACTATAGTATTGTTAATGATAGAAATGTTTAAATCTTAAAAAGATGTTATAACGTCTGAAGAGTTAGTTTTATTCAATTTTTAGTTCACTGGGATATAATTTAGAAACAATTTAATCGAAATAAGGATTATTCATGTTAAGGATATCATCTAGGTAGCGGGAAGTGTTGTTAAATGCATGTATAATTTCCTGGTGTGAAGTAGGGGAAAAACTTAACATAAAATCCCCCTCATAGCAGTAAAGAAATAAATCAGCTATCAGGGGTGCACAATTAGTTCCCATTTGAATGCCTATTATCTGTTTGAAAACTGTATTACCAAACCTGGCATAAATTTTATCTAATAAAAACGAAAGTGCTTAACTTACTTACTTATAATTCCTTATGAAATCGTATTGTCATAATTGGTCTGCACGATAAATATAAAAACAAGCATATCAATTAAAAGCGTTTATAGTTTGTTACACACTCAGTTAAGGTGAACACAATGAAATTTGAAATGTTTAAAATTAGTTTGCAAACCTGCCAACTTTGCATTAAATGCAACTCCAGCAGAACATATTTGATTACCAAATTCCGCACCAATAAGTCCAGCCGCCATTGTTCCATGACTGCAAAATCAATATTGAACACGTCAAATATATATATTTATGTATGTAGGTAGGTAGGTATGTACTTAGTATGAACGTGTGTGCGTGTGTGCGTGTGTGTGCGCGTGCGTGCGTGCGTGTGTGAAAGAATAAAAAGACAATTATGTTTTCTTTCCTTTTTAAGATATATTTTTTCAGTTCAATAAAGTATTATTTAATGAAGGACGTTTAACATTGTACAATATGTAACTGATTATGCTACTTTAAGCAAAAGTAAGGGACAGTGAGACAGACAGCTATAAGATAAAAAAAATAGCACCTTGTTACTTCCTCGGTTTCCATGTAGTCTCTAAAACGGTCAGGACTAACAAAGCTGTAATTTTTGTCCACAAAACTGTACGAAAGATTCAAATCCTGTAAATGGAAACAAAAATATGCTGGCCTTGTGCTATTTCTTCAAAACTTTAATTACCCTCATAAAGGTGCTAGAGATCACATGTTTAGATTGATAGGACTGGTGCATTAATTTTTTCAAGAAAAATGTTTAGCTTATATAGCTTATTAAAGCAAAGGGTCAAAAAAGGGTTTTTGGGAAAGGGGAACTATATTTTTATGATTATTTGTTTTCTTTTTTTTTTAAAACACAGTTTGAAACTTTGGGGGCTGATTTCCAAAAAAAAAAATTTAAAACAAATTTTCCCGGGCTGTGGGTTTATTAGGGCTTTTAAAAAAACTGGGAAAAATAAATTCCCCCATATTCGATACTATAAATATTTTTTTTTATACTTCTGGCATTTTTCTTAAAAAACAACTTACAATGTTTCGTTTTAAGTCCGGGTGGTCAACAGCTACTCCAATATCTACAATAGCAACATTGACGCCAAGTCCTGTGTAGCCCAGTGACCATGCTTCCTGGATGTCCATTCCATAGTACGGCCAGCACTGCTTTTTCTAAAAATCGATATTGTTATCGTTGATTTAAAGGGTATCGATACCATTAAGTATAACAAATCCCCACTATAAAATGTATGTACATTTCACTATTGTTGATCATTATTGTTACTTATATTTAAATAATTGCAATTACATTTTATAACGTTTCAACAGGGTCAATTGTGATTTTCATTCCATACAAAATGATATTGTACTAAGTAGCATATTCGTCTGGTGTTGTATAATTTGCAATATCTCCGGTGATGTAAAATCTGGATAATCTATGCAATATCAGCTTAGTGAAATATTATATAAAGATATTTAAAAATTATATTATTAGTAGCTTCTTATTTGAAACGACAGCTTGATTTAAAAAATGTCCGTAATTACACATCACTTACGTTTTCATACTTGATTGGTTTAAGAAACCATCGTTCAAGCGTTTGTTTTTCGCTACTTTGATTTCTCCACGTGTGATATTTAACAATCACTTTTGCCCGCCTTTCTGCATGTTCAATCTGTAAGAATACAATGACTTATATTATACACAAATCATTTGATATTCGTGTGGCGGAATGGCCGATTGGTTTATGCGACGGACTCATTGTTATTATCACTAGCCATGTTTGGCTAGCCACTGTTTTCCTTGAATATGAAACTGACATTCATTGATCAGCTACTGTTTGGTTCTAGGAACGGATTACAGATTGTATCTGTAAGCGTATATAGCTACCTTCGAAATAAAAAAAAAATAAAATAAACTCTGTATTAAATACGATACATTTACAGAAAATATATCAGGTTGATTTATCTAATAAAACATAAATGCAAATATCAACCAGCGAGAATAAGATAAAGGTTCATTACCTGCACCAACACTAAGTCTCAAATTCATAAAAATAACAATACGCCTTTTGTCAGATAGTACCTTACAGAAATAATAAAAAATAAACAATACAATGGTATTAGCATAGAAAATGGACTAAATGGCAGGACATGCGATAAAACCAACATAAAGATATAGAACTTATATAAATAAATGCATGACAACTTTCAAATCTATTCTAGGTTCTTAATATTGCTAACATTTCTGACCGGATAGTTTGTTATTGTATTATTATGTCAGCAGTTTGTTACCAAATTGGTTGTTGTTTCATTGAAACCTGCTTTATCATTTACGTAGATTTCTTTATCTACCACTTTCTATATTTTATTATTTAAGTTTTAATTCAAACATCCTAAATTAGAACAACTTATTATTTAAATTATGCAATGTTTCTTATATAAACGTAGCTACGAGATGTATGACGCTCTTAATATGTTTAATTTTTATTCCGAAAACATAAAGAATACTACATTATGAAAATCCAATTTTCAATGTTATTCTATGCTCTATGTGATAATGAAGGGACGTCAAAATAAGACAACACGTGGTGCCAAACAATAAAAGAAAATCATAAAGAACGAACTTGATTATTTTTCTCTATTTACCCCAGCGTACTAAGTATACAAGAAAGAACTCTAAATGGATGTGATAATCACATATAAAAAGTATATACTACAGTAGTTCATAAATCATACTGGGGTTAGCCAAGTCATATCGTAATAAACCTATTCTTTTGTTCAAATATGTAATACATTAACTCTTATAATTAAATGAAAGAAATAATTTTTACCTTATTCCCGAAATGTTTCTTGAAACCTTTAATGTCAGCAGATTTGCCCGCCCCGGTAGAAAGATTCGCTTCAAACAAGAATACATTTGACACAAGCTGCAAAAGGAAAGTAGATTTCTAAGAAATGTATGCATCATTTCCAAAGGCTTCTGAGCAGCAGATTTTGATAAAAAATATTTATCTCCTAAAATGCCTAAAATCCTCCTAAAACCTATTTCCTTTATCATTTTACCTTTACAAGACTCGACAATGTATATCATTATTTCACGCTATTAAATTTTGACACAAATAAAAATAGGGCGTCCAGGGAAAGGGGTTAAAATCAAACCATTTTCCCCTCCCCACTGATGGTTCTAATCCCGTTATGGACTTTATATTCTTCAATGTGAGAAACATACCCAGCAATATTATCTGGGTCTACTCAGACGCCCGTGCGTATCTATAATAATGCACGGAAGGGCATCAGAGGTCTTCCTCCACCAGTAAACGCTTAAAAGTCGTCATATGACCTTAAATGTATTGGGTGCGACGTAACATACATTAAGAATGTACAAAAAGAAATAAAAATGTAAAACGACAAATATACAGATATAATTTGAGGAATAAATGGTATGAAACAAAACAGTGAATTATTTTTTAGTTTATATATGAGTGTTACTTAAACAATTAAACAGTTTGCATAAAAAACTCCTGTTTGTTTTTAACATAATTGTAAACCAGCGCAAGCTTCTTAAGGTAACAGTGTACCCATTACAGGGTAAATGGTGAGTGTACGGGTAAAGTCGAAATAACTTTACGTTTTGAAAAAAAAATGTGTTTAATGATATATTTAACTATGCAAATGTAATCATTAACGTTAGCCACGGACATTTCTATGTATATCGTTAGGAATGTGTCGGTAACGTTCATTTAAAAAAAAAGTGGGGCAGTCTTTTTATATAATTTGGGTAGGTTTTTTATATTACATCTTTACATTTATGACTATCAATTATTAGTTAATGCCCATTATGCTAGTCAATCTTTTGAAAAAAAATTACTAATTCAAGCTATAATTCAACTGACCTTGACAGCGGAAAAAAATCATCATAACTTTTATTGATTAGGTTCTGTACGACAACTTGAACAAAATCACATAGAAAACGCGATTGATGTCAAAATGTACTTGAATAATACACAACATGGTTCTATGTATTCTAACGATACTCTTACCCAACCCATCTAATCCGTTATAGTAATAGTAAAATACAAAACAATGTCACCTTTCTTTTGAATGCTAGTCCAAACAGATGGGATTCCGATTTCACCGAATCTATCCACTGTGTTTGTATCTGAATAATATAATCCTGTTTCTGCTGTACAAATTTCAATGAATCAATATAAACAAAACAGTAAATAAACAATATTACATGACATGTGGTTTTCATTCTCTATTCTATAAAACACATCTACAATAAAACATAACATAGTTTAAACCGGGTTTATATCCCCTTATCTTTATTTCGTCAGGATATCAACTATCTTTCATTATAAACATAAATATTAAAGTGAAGACACTTGTTTAGACATGACTGGAATTGATATTTAATACTTTAGGTCACATAATCATTGAGGTGTTTTGATAAGGTACATAAAAATACACAATACCTGTAGTTTACGTAAGACATGAAAACATCAGATAAGATATTATTGTCGGCGAGACACATGCATACGGAAGCACAGAGGTATGGAAGCACAGAGGGGACATTCCTGTTTTATTTTATTTTCCTATCTCGTGGCCACGAGATATAACTCAGAAAAAAACAACAGAAATTACAAATTACTTATCTCGTTCCCACAAGATATAAGTCAGAAAAAAAATTGCTATCTCGTGGCCACGAGTTATAACTCAGAAAAAAAATTGCTATCTCGTGGCCATGAGTTAGCCGTCCAATCAGATGAACACATCTAAGTCGTGGAAACGAGTTAGCTGACCAATAAAATCGAAGATGTGCTCGTTGATTTCGGCGCGAGTAGACATACTTGCCAAGATGGCGGCCTATAGAATGATTTTATGTCAACGAGATAGAATAAAAAGCTAAAAAAAAAAAGCTTATTGGCCGATTAACTCGTGGTAACAATATAGCAAATTTTTGTTTTTTTGGTTTGTTTTTTTTCTTCTAAGTTATAACTCGTGGGAACGAAATAGCAAATTTTTGTTTTTTGTTGTTTTTTTCTGACTTATATCTTGTGGGAACGAGTTAAGTAATTTTTGTTTTCTTTCTGAGTTATAACTCGTGGCCACGAGATAGTGTTTTAATGTTTTGTTTTTTTCTTAGTTGTATCTCGTGGGAACGAGAAAGCATTTTGTTATTTTCTGAGTTACATCTCGTGGCAACGAGATAGGAAAATAAAATAAAATCGGAATGTCCTCTCGGTGCTTCCGTACGAAAAAGCAAATTTAGTTGGGTTTTTTGTATTTTTTTCTGAGTTATATCTCGTGGGAACGAAATAACGATTTTTTTTGTCTGAGTTGTATCTCGTAGCCACGAGATAAATTTTTTTCTAAGTTATATCTCGTGGCCACGAGAAAGGCAAATGAAATAAAATCGGAATGTCCCCTCTGTGCTTCCGTACATGCGTGTGTGTGGTTGGACTGTTTACTTTAACTTTTTAAAGGGACACCACTGAGGTTTAAAAGCCTAAAAACATAACATTAGAATTTTTTTCATAAATGAACTGGGGCGCTTTAAACAGAAATATATGCAAAGATAGTTAATATACTTTAAAATAAATCAAAAATCGTAGTTTTATGCCTTTCTTAACCTAATTTGAGTGAAAAGCGTTTAAATGCTTTTCATTTTGGGTCATTTTTTTACAATTTGAATAATTATTATGGAAAAACGAAGTGCGCGAATGATCTGAAAGTTTGCACAAAGATTCGTGGTCTACACCTACATCAAATGGTACCTTCATCTGGAAAAAATATTTTCAGTCCCATCATGTCAAAAAACCTCAGTGGAGTCCCTTTAAGTTACTAACGATATCTTTTTATGTCATAGCTAATGATTTGTTACTTGATAACATTATTCGAAAAAGGAAATTTACGTATCGTTGAACTTTGCATCTTTAAATGTTACCTCTGTTGTTTTCTTGATGTACAAAATAAAAAATATTTAAAGAATGAATAAGTTTTATTTAAATTGTTTTAACGAATCATTATAGATATGATGTATGTACACTTCATTCACTATTGATTTTACTGACCCATATATTTTAATAAACATATTCTGGAAGCATTTTTTAAACCCTCTCATTTTTCATCTTTGTCTATTTATTTTTCTGACCCATATAATTTAAGGAACACATTCTAGAAGCATTTTTTAAACTCGCACAATTTTTACAGAAACGTTACATTGAAGGTTTAGTAATGATCTGGTAATATCTGCTAGAAATCAAGCTGGTTCTGAGAATATGCCTATTAGAAAAACCGTTTCACCTCGCTTTACGACTCCATAATTATTAAAGAGAGCATTTTAAAGCAGGAGAACATCAATTCCAATACTCTGCTCTCCTAAACACTTAAGTTTTCAACGAATAAATGGAATAAATTGATAAAAGTCAAGGTTTTGTGAGAACATTCTTTTTATCCTCAAAGATTAAACATATATGAAGCGAAGGTTTTTGTCAAGAGAATAGATACATTTATATCATTCATAACAATATATCATTTTCTTCTTGTATTTAAAAGGTGGTAACTTATCCTATCACTTCGTTTTGTTGTCCAACTCTGGAAAAGACAATTATTATTTATAAATGTGCATTTTTTAAATAAATATAAGAAGAATCTTGCATTTTATAAACTAATTGCATTTAAGATATATTTCAATAATGTGTTTGACATGAAATTCTTCTGCAATCTCAGAAAATAGTATTATATAAAATTGCTAAAGTGATAATGTAAGCAAATTACCTTAACTCGCACAGCGCAGCCCTCGATGTAGTACATGCCACATCTGCCCATCTAAATTTAAGTAAGTGGCCAAACATTGCACAGTCTTCACCTTCGAATGCATCCTGGGGCTCGCTAGGTGCCCAGTCTAGATAAGGTGCTACGGTATTGTCTCCGTCATTCAACTTCCAAATTCCCTCAACAAGTTCATCTGTCATCCCCAGCCAATAGTCTATATCAACTATACATTCCAAAAGATATATATATTAATTTCAAGTAAGTTGAATAAGTTAAATAAACTATTTTCCTTCTCCTCGTGATAACTTAGTATCTGTTCATTAAAAATGTCATAAATATGTGTCAAGATAGACTGTCATAATATCATTATAAATTTGAAAAAGTATTACATAAATTACAATAGCCATGTATTGGAGTCTGTAAGGTCGATTTCAAAGTTGTTAACCTTTTAAGTGATCCGCCATGTAACCTTTAAGGAACATATCCTCTTCTCGAGTATCTACATGAACCAGTCCACTGTTGTCGTGTTGACGACAATATGCCTAGAATAAACATAGTATAATATCAATGGCCCTTTTCGCATTTAAAGAGCTCTTAATTTGAATTAAAATTTTACATCTTTACAATTTCAACGAAATTATCATTCATTTAGTAATACAAATAGAAAATATTAATAAATGAATAGGGTATCAAATTAAATGAAATGATGCCCGGTGATTTTAGGAAGGAAAGATTTATCATAATTAAAATAACTTTTTGAAATAAATGCTATATACATGCATGTATTTCGTTTAGTAGTACCAAAGAAAAACTATCTCCAAAATAGTTGTTTACTTTAACGATATAATTAATCAAACGTTATCTGAATCATAATTTTCTTATCTTCTTTCAATCGTGCTTTAGAATACAGCAAAGAAATCGGGTAATTGGACTATTAGATAAAGGTATTGACCTCGGCCTCGGTAAAATGAATATTTCCTGAACCAAATAGGTAACATGATCCATGAAAGGCCAGCCATCCGTCTGGGCAATCGGTGGCTGATGTTATACCTAATCAAATAAGACAAATAAAAATAAATATTGACCTGAATATCTATTGAAATTGCAATAAAGGCGGATATGTGAACACCGTAGAAAGGAATTTAGACATTAAAACTTGTAATGAAATAAAGAAATACTGAGAACGTAATGGGAAACACTGTTGTGATGTTCTATACAGTAGTTATATATGTTTACATATTGAAATCTAGGGACGAGAATCCATTTTTCAAATAATTATTTTGCGGTGATTAAGAGAATATTTTTATTAAAATCAGTATTCTTTCCAACCTGTCCTAGAGTGAGAGTGCAAACTGTATTCAACTTAATAGTTTTTATACTGGTGGCATTGTTTTAAAAATACATTATAACGTTACAAAATGTGAAAATTTAACCAACGAGTCATTAATAACCTACCTGTTATTAATTAAGTACTACGAGTAACTTTTAAAAAAAGATAATACACAGTACTGAAGGCCTCATAGAATAATAGTGATCTATAAAGAATCTCACAAACATTTAACGGACCGAAGTATGTTGTGTGCCTTAGTAGTGCCCACTTGTATAATAGATGAAATATGCACTCATTTGTGTAAGGTAAAATAGTCACAGAATTGATAAATATGTATTATATTTAATGGAACCGAAACAAAAGGATATACGATTACTTATGGTAGTAAATTAATTAAATTAATTACTTTTTTCCGTGGCCCTTACCAAAGTAATTGATAAAAGAGAAGTTACATATTAAAGTCTTCTTTATAATACAATGTAGTAAATTAATCAATTATATCAATTAATCTGTCTGTGAATTGTATCAAAGAAATTCATTAAAGAGAAGTTACATAAATAAGTAAAAGTAGCGTTTAAAATTGCTTACCAATTAAATACAATACCAGTAATTGAATCATCTTATTTAAAGTTAACTTTTCCCAAACGTATATATGTGTATGTGTAGATGAAATGTACAAAATCTATATAGAACAACGGTATTTTGTTCAAAGCTAGATAGTCTAACGTCCACGTTAAGATAAGATAATATTTTTCAGCCGCTGTATGTTTATATGTTGAAATTCATAAACACTACTAACAAAACAATGACTTGTACTTTGGATCTGGCAATGCTCAACAGATGTAAGGCTTCTTTGTGGTAACGAGTCTACTAGTATTTATACTTTAATGTGAGAATATGACGAATGTATGTAAAGGAGACAAATTTGCAGTACATTCACAGGAAATGGTGTATAATAGGCTTTGGATTTGTCCCCCTTTATCAGTTTCTTTTTTTACACTTCACTGGTATTGCAGTTCTTGATTGTTTTGGTTTCACGTTTGTGGTGTATTTTTGTCAACATAAAAGATGAAACTATTATAGATTCAAATACTTTTGACAGTTGAAAGAGACTTTCGTTTCAAGATCAACTTTCTACAAACGTTTTCCCAAAGAAGGCAAAGTCTGTTCACTAATGGATACCGAATTTCAAAATGTTGATCATCTGCATAATTAAACCAATCAATGGTACATATATATGTTCCGCATCATATTACCTTTGATAACATTATTTTGCTCCATAGTCATTCATCTGTTTCCAAAGGTTAAAGATGTCTATTTCTGATACCCACAGCTGGTCGGATGATGATGTCAAACATGCGATTGATGAAAATATATATATAGAAATGCAATTGTCTGAAAAAACACAAAGATTTTGCAACACTCACAGATTATCAGTCAACCATCGTAATTAAGAACACTCACATAAGGAGCAAACTTTTTTTTTTTAAAAAAATGAAATCAACACAAATATAAAAGGAAGGTTCTGGTAGGTCTTTCCGATATTTGTTTGACATTTGATGTATGTCTTGGCCAATAGCTTGTGGGATTCTCTTTTAACGCATAAATATACAAAAACAAAACAAACTAACTCTTTGTTGGAGTTATTTAATTTCATTAAGTTATAATGAGTTGTAAGTTAGATAGAGAAACGCATACAAAAACAAATTTATAAGCTTTTCTGTCAAGTCTGATATCTATGGTATTGTAATTTTTGTCAGTTATTATGGACATAAGTCAATGCAAGCTTGTATTTGATTATGTCACAGTTGTCATCAAAAACATTATATGCATCAACATTTGTTTACCATAAGTAAGCGTACGTTCTCGTGTATTCAAATCAAAATATGAAAGTACACAAGATTTACGCGACATTTATTTTCATGATGTGTTGAAAAGGTATATATTTCAAGAGATTGGCAACTGTTATGGTGAATGATCAATAATTGATGATGAAGAAAGTTTATAATACAGTATATAAACTACCTTAAATATATAAACAGATTGCAACACTGTTCTTTAAGAATAACGTTTTACCTATATATTTTGAACGATATTTACAGAAATGTCCGTTAGGCACGTGGAATTATTGGTTTTTTGTATTTTCATAATTAATAGTAAGATATAAAATTGAATATTTACGGCAAAATGTCAAGTTATTATATTTAAACCTGTTCACGGACCATTTGCACCTGGATAGAAATAATGTCACGTAAATAAGTGACACATTAAAGTCCCATTATGCCTCATAAATGTTTTCATTTATTTCTCAATGGTTTATTTCTTCTTTTTTGTATTTCTTTAGTTCAAGAAAGTTACTCATTGACCAGTTATTTAAAGCATGTTTTGCACCTGCTGCCTTTTGGAAACTATTATACTTATAGTGAATAAGTATTTTGTATTGAAGGCAAAATACTTCTTTGTTTACATTTCAATTTGTTACTTCTATGACAAATTATTTCACATTGATCGCAATTTTTTCAGGTTAAAATCATCTATCATGCTCTCAATCATTATTTATACGTCACAAAATTCAGGTTTGCCCTTTCTAAAAAAATGATAATAGAACCTAAGCGCCTATGATCCTGATTGGCATAAAAGAATCAAATATTATATAATAGACTACTACACATGCAAAATATCATTGTGAGCACGTTTTTTGAAAATGCAAAGGTATATTACATATAAAAAAGCTATGTAATTATAATTATACGCGGTATGGCAAAGATAGAACGAAGAAAAATTCAAGAATTAAAAAGATACTTTATTGGCATAAGCATTCAACATATTATTAATGAAATAATTCATATATGATCCATGAGCATGAGATGAACATCAATAACATTGAATCAATGAATTTATACATGGCAAGATAGCATTATTGAATATATCCGCTACATGTCAGCACACAAATATAATTGCTTTCTATTAATTCTTTCAATAAATAGAAATGATAATTACTTAATAACACTTAAACATTTAACTTATTAGATACCAAATTTATACTTCGAGGATTATGATCTATCTTATTTCTCAGACCATTCTTCACCTGTTTAGCATATTTAACAAAATTATAGTTACAAATGTTCAACTCGAATTTTATTATTTTATGATATCTATTCTTAACAACAAGTATTTCTACCATGAATACATGTACGTACAAAACATAAAACTGTTACAACAGAAAAGTAAAGTATGATAATAAGTATGACATTGTTACATGATGACAAGAAAAATATCATGTTTTCAATATAAAGATAAGTGAATATATTTGGCTAAATTTTATGATTTCATTGTTTTGAACCTTTGTTTAAACTTAGCTTTGTTAATTCTTAAATCAGAATAAAATTGACATACAACTAAAACTGGTATTCATTTGCAATAACTTGCATATTGCATTTTATAATTAATATATTATTTCTATTTATATCGCTAAATGGTCGATGGTAAATGGATTTAGACCAACATTTTCATTAATTACTAATACTAATATTAGTAATTTACTAAATTTTCCATACACCGCAATATTTAGTGTTTTTGTCTAAATTTGCCAAGAGTTCAGAAAAAGATAAGCAATACAATCCTATCATTCATATCTATGTTTTTCGACCCACAGGGCGGAGTAAAGGCTGGGCTGAAAGACATAGAAGACGTGTCTAAGTTGTCCTATAAATCACATCAGTATTGTTATATTTTTCTTTGCGTTCGGGATCAAGCACGATAGTGTCGTGGATAGAACTTAAGTCAAATTAAGTCTGTGCTAGGATGTGTGGGAGATATTGCACTTTTATATTATCTCTCTCATGAACGTCATTCTATTAAATCGAGTCTGCAATTTTCATAAATTTCATGAAAAGAAATCATTACTTCCGAGAGATGGATTAGTCTCTTAGTGTAATGATTGAAACATTAGTTAGTACCGAACTAAAAGAACCATCCTATCATTATATCTGGGGTGAACAGAGTTGTGTATATCAAGACTGGTTCCGCACGTACTAAGTCATAGCTACAATAAAGTTATTCAAATAGCAACCAATTACAATTACTACTAATGCAATAAAAACAGAGGCGAGGAAGACGTAAAATAAATACACTTTATGGCTTGACTCTTTCAAATTCTCTTCCGTGTTGTCTCTAGAAGAGTTTGGGAGATCATTTAATACATAGTGTTTAAACCTGCTGTACCATTCAATTAGATTTAAAACATTATATTCTTTCAAATTATTTCTCTCATCCCATTGCAGGTTATAAAATCTTTTTGAGGGGTTGGTCGGTGTTCCATATAACGTTAATGCAACTTTTCGTAGTTTAAACATTTCTGAAAAATAGAGGTATTTCTTTTGTCAATTCAAAGCTATATATAACACTTCTTTAACATTTCAAACTAAAGACAACTGGAATATAAAACGAATTGATCAAACATTAGGTTGTTTCCGATAATTAACCTGAATTATTTCAATGTTAAATACTTACCTTGATCAAGATCACTGCTATTACGAACAATTAGAAACCACTGTCCAGTAGGATTCTCTCCCCAAAACTGTACTGATGTGTAATTCCAGGATCGTGTTCCATGATATGAGTTAGTTTTGTAATCATATGTCCTATCAGAAGTTTTCCTGTTTAGTAAAAGTGAGCAGGAATTCGACGGTGAACAAAGCAATATGTCCACAAAAGCTTCAAACTGTTTATCATATTTCAGCTCTACTTGTACATGCTCCAAGAATTTGATACATTGATCACCCTTTTCACATGGTCCGACCTGAACTGTAACAGCTATTGCATCTTGACGGGGAGGCCTACAATATAAAGGAACTAGTTTGTAAAAAATATGAAAATTTATACTTCAGAATATATTGGAAGCATTTTACCTCATGAGCATATTGTGAAAAATGACCGTTTTCATTGGAAAGCATCGTGTTACAAGTTCAAACTGCAATGAAACTTTGAAAAATGCTTCAATACTAATGAAACTTGGCAAAAATGTTGACTAGACCATAGCCCTCTGTAACAGCATGCTCAGTCTCAAATTTCCTGTTACCAAGGCAACGGGGGGACATCTCAAAATTGCCAAAAATTACTATTTTGCATTGTTTTTTTTCATCAAAACTGATTATTTCAAGGTGCTGCAACTTCTCAATGGAAAATGCAATATATGTACTGTTATGGTATGACCTTGCTCGAGATGGAGTAAAATGTAGCCTGTCACATTTCTAGAATTTTCTTGGCGATGAGCTACCGCCCCCTTCAAACCCCTAAAATAGAAGGGGGCACATCTCCCTTCTGGCAAACCGCTGATGTATCTTTCTGATACTTACTACTTCAAATATATTCATTTTTTTGGGTGCTTCAAAATACAACAATATTAATCATATGTGTCTTGTAAAGCTTTACAATTCAATGAACGCCACTGGTTGTGTCTTATAATGATATGATATTCAACTCTGAAGCATAATCGAAGAGTTATATGAGACACACATTTTGTTCTATAATTCATCTAGTAATTGACAGTTTTGTGTTTCATACAACAATACTTACCAGTTTTCTCTTTGTGTTTCATATACTGTGGTTTGTTTTTGAGGTGGTACCGTCAACCATTTTTCAGCCAACAATGTCATAGCAGTAGCATTCATCAATCCAAATCCAAAGAAAGAATTATCTACAAAATTAACAAATCACATTAGAAGTTTAATTGTGCGAACTAGTTATCTATCAACTTACTGTTGACATTGCAACATCACAAGTTTACCAAAGCTATTATCTCAATAGCATTGTTCGTTGTGTAAAAATAGTCCAAATAAGTAAAATTTATATGAGAAATATTAGCATTATCATTATTCAAATGTCATAAAATCAAATTAAAAAGTTTTCTTTCACTTTAAACTAAATATCGTGTATATAATTAAAAGTCTTTTGGGTTATCAATAGTTTAAAAAGCGGTATACGTGACCAAAAGAGTGGTGCAGGTCTTTTTCGCTCGTGCCTAATATAATGACAGTTTAAAACATTCCTATACGTCACAAAAACGTTCTATATAGATACGCTTTAGGACATTTCAGCTGTTTCAAAAAATTATATAATTACCACTTTTTTCATAATCTCTAACTTAATAAATCCTGTATTATTTCACTAATGGTTTCATTTATTTTCTTATGATGCATCTACACTTGCGTACATAAGCAAGATACAGTTAAGATTCCTGAGGCATCAACTTGTGTGTATGATACATTTACTTTATCTTTTAATGTTATCCTTAACTGCAAATACTAGTAACTCAAAAATCACTTCAGTGTATCAAGGCATATGATATCAGTTATTTAAACTATCGTATTGTATGTATTTATATGAAAGTATCGTGTCTTCAAGTATTTACATATCAGCTTACACTGTAGCCCGGCAGCATTTTTCATTAGTCCTCCGGTATGTTCAAGTCTTTCGTGAGAAGAAGATAGTACTATTATGTGTTGAACATCTCTCCAAGTCAGCTTAGAACTGAAAAAGTAAAAAACGTTAAAAAGTATCTCAAGTTTATTTTTGTTGATAAATATTATGCAGCAGATTAAATAAAATATGCATATAAGTGTATATTGATTTACATATTAGTCTAATTCTTAGCAGCTCCAGATTATTTTATTTAGAACTAAAACAACAGGCCGCTTTCGTTTCTCAAATAAATTTGTTTTACAAACGAGGATTGATAAAAAAAGTTCTAGGCCCGATGTACTTATTGCAGTCAGAGAACCTAACTAATGGTATTACTTTTCAATATAATCGCCCTCTACATATATGCACTTAGCCCACCTGTGCTCCAACTTGTTTAACCATTCAAAATACAACTCTCTATTTTGGGCGTCAAAGGACTTATTGACCGCCTCCATGACACCTTAATTGCTTCCAAAAAGTCTAGGGATTGGGAAAGAATTTCAAAGTCGCAGTCAGTTTTAGCAGCAATCGTAACTTGGGATGTGTGAGCTGGCGCATTGTCGTGAAGGGCAGAACGCCTTGAGTCATTTTGCCCCTCCTTTTACGCGCGATTTCTTGACGCAGACGTTTCAATTCGTCTGCAATATACGTACTGTTTATGGTATGACCTTGCTCAAGATAACCAATCATGATTATCCCCTGACTATCCCAAATATTGAAGCCGTCATCTTCCCTGCTGATGGCACCCATTTGAATGTCTTCGGAGGGGTGAGCCAGGTTCTTCCTCTGCATGCTCTGGGGTTTTTTTTGGATTCTGGATCGAAGTGATGGACCCTGGTTTTATCCCGAGTTACGATCCGGCAGATAAAATCAGGTTCATCCTCGTTGAGAGACAAAAGATATAATGAAATGTCAAGCCCGGTCCGTTTTTGGTCGTCAGTCAACTGTCTGGGGACACATCTAGCGGAAACCTTTGACATGCCATAGACATCAGTCAGAATTGCCTGAACTGAACCAAAGCTTATACCCACATCCTTAGGAATGCTTAGCAGGTCTCGCCTTCTGTCGCACATGACCAGATCGTGCACAGCTTCGGATGTTTCATCGTCATCCGCTCATCATCTCCAATGCTCGCCCTGTACCTTGTAAAGTCAACAGCCCATTTTTTCACAGTGCTATAGGAAGGGGACTCCTTCCCAAGTGTATCCATGTAGTCTTGGTGGATTTCCTTGGGGACATCCCTTTCTTACAGAGGTACCTAATGATGGCTCTGATTTCAACTTTTTTCCATTTGGTCTAAAATACAAACCCCTCTACTGATCAAAGTGTGTTTTATTTTTCTTAATCTGTATAAAACCGAGTGTTACCCGGTCAGTAATCTTAAATAAGATATCTGTATCGAAGTATCGTGTGTAAATGTCAGTGTATGTATTTGAATCAATACGTGAATAATAATCGAACAAAATGTGTATAACTTACTTTGCCTGTAAGGTTAAAGCAATTATTCCAGACGCTAAAGCTGTTGATGCTGAAGTTCCTTTAAAGTAACCGCACATGCCATCGTGACTTGTAGTTTCCTTAATGAAGAGATGTAAATAGTTTGATTCAGAAATAATGATAATTACATTAAGTTTTAGAAGAATGATTTTAGATAAAAATTAAATTTGGTAATATCTTTCGAGTTTACACGATATATGTATTTTTCACAGCTGATTTAATTGGTTAGATAAAAAAGTATATCGTATTATAACATTTATTATATATTGCTGAATTTCTAAAATCATCTCACCAAAGTCTTTGGACCTCTGAGTGTATTAAACTCGCCATATGTAGAAGCCAAGGTAGTGGCACATGGTATAGCATGAGAAGGTATCGAGCCGTCCTTGCCAACACTAGAAATTGTAATCGTATAAATGCTGTTTGCAAGAGCTTCCATGTTACAGTCATAAACCGGGCCTATTTTATTTCCTGCAGAAAATACGAAAATGCTCCCTTTACCCAATCTGCCCTATACAGAGAAAAAGATAGAAATAAAATTTAATAATATATATGCTATGATTATAGAAATATTGGTTAAAAAAGCAAAAAATAACATTCATTGGTTAACGTAATATCATATCGGCTAACAATACAAAAGTTGGACTAGAGGTACTTCAGATAATTATGAACTTAAACCACATTTGACACCGATTTATTTTAAATTCATTTCCAAAAGAAAGGCAATGCGTATATTAACTGGAATAAATTTTGTAATTGTATTGGTCGAGTAAATTGACTTCTCTAAAATATGTTTTATGAATAATAGTGTATGTCATGTATGTGCTAGAGTGTGCAGCGTACAGCGTACTGCTAAAGAACCATCTCGTTATTTTTTTTTATTGAATTTCATTTTATTGTTGATTTTTTCAATTTTATTTAACAATTTAATAGAACATTTAACAATTTGATAGAATAACTAAGGAAGCAAACGCCAATTACAATGTAATTACTTAATTTATTGTCATTTACATTTATCTTCAACTGTATTAAATATTGTATTCATAAATGGAATTTAAAGAAAGTGATAAATGTTTCAAAACATGACATCCTGCACCGTTAGCACTCCTTCCTGTAATGCTGACTTCATCTCTGGGCTTGCTGATATGTATTTATTATGAAGATTGAAACTACAAGAGTAAATATCGATGTCTTGTCGTTTAAATTCAAGTGCAGAAGGGACTTTATCGATTGAAAAGGGAAATCCCATTCGTACGTCCAAACTAATGTATCGCTTGTTAATTTGAAACACCTTTAGAGCTGAAAAAAAGAAATAAGTATTGCAACTTACAAACAATCCATAATTTAGATTCATATAACAGTATAAGCATGTTCAGATTTGCAGCAGTGACTCGAGATAAAAGCGGATCATTGAGATGAATCCATGTGCAGTTCTGCAAAATCTACCCACAAAGAAGTACGTTGCGATTGACGTTAGCGGTTGGACGTATGTGATTGGACTACTGACAATAATGAACAGCGGATTAATTAAGTAAATGGTTTGAAAAGCGATATTATTTTAATGTTAATGCATCCACTTCGTCGGAGGTGAAAGTTTGTAGGTGAATTCATGGCTTTGTTAGGAATATGTTTCTGTGGGCTATAAATTTGTTTCATAGGTACAGGCTACAATTTCATATTATTTACGTGCTCTTTGTCGCTCGTGGCTCAAAGAATTTGCGCTCTTTTGTTATTAGAACTATACATATAAAGCGAAACCAAAGTATTTAATTTACATTACGCGATTGATGTTGACGTTGTGTACTCAAAAACACTGAAACATCTAATTGTAATCAGTTTTTGCCCAAACCGTGTAGCATGTACTGACTCTTCATTCAAAATAGGTGAAAACATATTTAACGCTGGCGGATAATTAAACTATTAACTAAATTATTAAGGTGACGTTTCATTGCAAAGATGACTTATCATTGAATGCTAAAATTCTCGCAAAAAATGCCGTAAGAGCACTTGGAAAAATAATTGCTCAGACTAGAGATATAAAGGAATTTTACATTAATACAGCTGAATTTTTCTCAATTCATTTGCTGTTCAAATTATGGATTACTGCTCGGGCGTGGACAAAACATCTATAGAAAATACCAAACAATAAAACAAAGTGCAGCATTGTACGATTAGATCATTTCTTGGTGTCCACATATTTCAACCCATACCTGCAATTACCTGTCATATTGTTTGGATTCGGGCAATATGATAGATCCTTACTCTGACCTTTTATTTGAATTACAATACATTGACATGTGTTTTTTGTTAACAAATAGGTTATGATGAAAATCATATATTAAAACACTAGTCTGATAATTTGAATGAGACAGATTAGGGTTACATAGGGATCTATCCATTAAAGATGATAGTTAAAAATGCTACGGATGCAGAACAGGCCCGTGTTTCTAAATGACAAAACAATCATAAAAGTGTTTTTGGATTACAGCCGTTGTATAGCCATTGTTAATGTAACTGGTGCAGTGAGGTTTAGGATCGAATTAAATGACAGCTTTATTTAAAGACAACCAGTAAGTCAGAAAACAACTAGCAAACAATGCATAATTGAAAATCATTAAAATGATTGGCCTTGGGAAGTTATGAAAGTTTATAAGTTGCGAATATTATTCCATTTCAAGAGCGACTTTAAAAATAAAACATATCTTGACCTCAGCCTTAAAGAACGAGCGATCGCTACTAGCACATTCGCGGTATTGTATCCTGCCATTCCGTATAGAAACCGGGCGGTATGTTGGTGAAGCGCCAGATCAGAGACTGTTGCAAACTGTGAAATTCTGGTAACATTGAATATGAGCAGCATTTTGTACTCAAGTGTTCTTTATATCCGGATAATATACTCGATAATATAAGTAAAGTTCTCTTGTGTGATCAAACTATCAACATGAGAGATAGAGATATGTTTCTTAACATTATAAGATATTACCCTAGGAGAATTGTGTTCTCGTTTTTCTGCAGATAAATAAAATGTTAACTTATTTACTTATAATTATGTATGGCATCAGAATGTAACGATTATTCTGCACAATAAAAATAAATACCAACTGGCTTATAAATTCAAATCATTGATAGTTAATCACACTCAGTTAAAGGTAAAACAATGAAATTTCAAATGTATGTTTGTTTTTTAGAAATAATATTGCAAACCTGCTAATTTTGCATTGAATGCAACTCCAGCAGAACAATTTTGATTACCAAATTCCGCACCAATAAGTCCAGCCGCCATTGTCCCATGACTGCAAAAATGAACACAAATATCATATATGTATGTTTGTATGTGCGCGCGTGCGAGCGTGTGCGCGTATGTATGTATGTATGTATGGAGATGTGCGTGCGTGCGTGTGTGTGTGTGCGCGTATGCACGTGTGTGAGAGAATAAAAAAATCAATTATGTTTTCTTTCCATTATATATATGACATTTTGTGTTCAATAAAGTATTATTTAATGAAGGAGGTTAAACATTGTAAATTGTGTAACTGATTATGCACTTTAAGAAAAAGTAAGAGATAGTGAGACAGACAAAATAAAAGATTTAACACCTTGTTACTTCCTCGGTTTCCATGTAGTCTCTAAAACGTTCAGGATTAACAAAGCTGTAATTTTTGTCCACAAAACTGTACGAAAGATTCAAATCCTGTAAATGGAAACAAAAGTATGCTGGCCTTGTGCTATTTTTGCAAAACCTTAATTACCGTCATAAAGGTGCTACAGATCACACGTTTAGATTGATAGATGCATTGATCTCTTCAAGAAATATGTTTAGCTTATTAAAGCAGGATCAAAGGTTTTGGCAAATAAACTATAATTATATGATTATTTGTGCTTTATTTAATTACAGTTTGAAACTTTGGTGCTTATGCATTTAATCAAAATCCAGTCTTTGTTGATAGAGCTTCATAACTGCATATAAATTTTGCACATATTCAACAGCTATACTTTTGTTTTGTACATGTTGTATACTTCTGGCATTTTTCTTGAAAAACAACTTACAATGTTTCGTTTTAAGTCCGGGTGGTCAACATCTACTCCAATATCTACAATAGCAACATTGACGCCAAGTCCTGTGTAGCCCAGTGACCATGCTTCCTGGATGTCCATTCCATAGTATGGCCAGCACTGCTTTTTCTAAAACAAAAGAGCAAAAGTTTTATCGTTGATACCGAGAACATCACTACAACATGTATAAAATACAATTGTTGTACTTTTCTCTACAATTAATCAATTTATCGATTATCAATATCTAAACACCTTCAATTATTTTTACAGGTTTCATAAGAGTCAAATGAAATTGTACTTAAAATCATTAACCGTGTGGTATAATTGTAAAATGTGAAATATCTGTACACTATCAACTTACTGAAATATAATGTAAGATATTTGAAAATAACTGGTAGGTAGCTTCAGTTTCGAAATGAGAGCTTAATAACAAAAAACACAAAGGAAACAACATAACACAAAACTTACGTTTTCGTACTTTATTGGTTTAAGAAGCCATCGTTCAAGCGATTGTTTTTCGCTACTGCGATTGCTCCACGTGTAATATTTAACAATGACTTTCTCCCGCCTTTCTGTATGTTCAATCTGTAAGAATATCGTAACTTGCATCATACACAAATTACTTCTGCTAAGAAATTTCTCTGGCAGAATGGTCGAGTGGTTAACGCTAAGGACTTGTAATGTTAGGATCCCTAGCTATGTGTGGTTCAAATCTCGTTAGGGACAAGCCGTTGTGCACTCGAGCAAGAAACTATACACTCATTGATCAGTACTGGCTGGTTCCAGAAACGGATTTGATAGTGTGTCCATAAGCTTTTAGCGTTTTACACAATGAATGTGAATAATGGGGACAAAATGGCGGGACAGGAGCAAAACAATGCCATTAAGAAAAAACAAAGCAAGGCAATCATAAAGATACATGACCCACTAGATGGTATGACAATGTATAATCCTATTCTAGATTCATAGAATTGCTGAAATTCCCGGCAGGACAGTTCTTTTAGGTCAATGGATTTTTTCTCCTCAACCATTCTTTGTTTTACTATAAAATTTCATCTTGGTCGTTGATTTATTTATATACACTGTATCATGATTTTATATGGTTTTACTTCAAACACTCTTGAAACCCATGTTTAATAAGATTTGTTATGTTTGAAATCTCTCGAATTCCGCAATGATTATAAACATGCAAATTGGATGCACGCCACGAGATGTATAATGTTTCATGTAAAATACTATATTTAACTCTCAAAACGAATTCCGAATACATAAGAAATACACCATTATAAAGACCCTATTTTCAATGTTATTTGTAAATTGCAAAAACATAAAAATATACATACAGTTAAATTTACAGGGTTTTTTTTCTTGTTAAGTTTTTTTTTTCTTTTTTTTTTATTATAATCTATGCCAATCCAAACTGTCCTATACGATATTTATTTAGTTGACAAAATATCAACGTCATATACACATTATTGATATACATATACCTTCGAATAAAACATTATAGGATCGAAAATCCAGTATCAGTAGTTGTTGAAGGAAAGTAAAAACAAGACACAGCGTCAAAATAAAAAGATGAATTATTAAGGCCGACTTTGGATAATTTATTATCTGTTTACATTAGCCCACTAAGCAAACACTTGATCGTATAATCGCCACTAAAAGGGGATATAGTTCTGATATCATATGGCAGCTTGCCAACTCGTATCAAAATAAACCTATAGCGTATTCATATATTCAAATACATATATTACTATAATTCTTAAATCATGAAATATAATATTATTACCTTATTAGCAAAATAACTCTTGAAACCTTCAATGTCAGCACGATTGCGCGCAGTGACCCCAAACAAGAATATATTTGACACAAGCTGCAATGAAAAAAAGATCGACAAGATGTATGCTGAAAAATTCTGAGTCACAGATATTGATCAAAATTACGTATTTATCTAATAAAATGTGTCGCAGTATCATCATTCATCGTTATCAAATATTGACACAATGAGTGTTTAATAACAAATAGCTTCAGTGTGTTTCATGAAACAGGCAAGCAACTTAATTTCACTATCAAACACCTGTCATATTTACAGATGAGATGAACACATCAATATTACATAAAAACCACGACTGATGTCACGGCAGCAATTTTACTTTTCCACGTAGAGCATGTTTAAATGCTACGTGGTCCAAATATTAATCACTTGACCTTCTGACAATTAGCCTTTAATTGGTTTAACTTGGTTAGCTATCCAGCAAATGGAAAGTCGTTCGATCTTTTGAGGTTGTACTTGGGTAATACAAAATAAACGTTGATTTATAGTTTGTTTTCGGACGCTCTTCCGACTAATGCGTACAGTGAAAGTAATAGAAAAATACAAAACAATGTCACCTGTCTTTTGAATGCAAGTCCGAACAGGTGAGATTCCGATTTCACCGAATTTATCCATTGTTTTTTAATCTGAACAATATAATCCTGTTTCCGTGGTTCAAAGTTCTTTGAATCAGTAGAAGCGAAACAGTAAATAAACAATATTAGATAATATGTAGTTTTCATTTTTTATTCTATAACACTGAAATTTTAAAATATCGGTTTCCCCTGATCTAAATCACGATATCATATCCCATAAATATAGTGAAGACACAAGTTATGACAGAACTACATAAGATATTCTGATAAGGTGCATTATTTAAGTAGGTAAACAATATGCAGTATTTTTACTTTTTTTTTTTCATCTTCCTTGTGTTACATAAGTTAAAACACTGATAATAAAACAATACTATCTGCTATCGATGTAAGCGTGTACAAGATATGAAACAAACATACAAATGTTTAAGTGAAAGAATATTAGTTGCGTAATTATATTACAAGGAACAGTAATAAACAAGTATATATTAATGTCCTCCCTTTATTCATTTCTCTTATTGCCAGTATGTAAAATTGTATCAGAGAAACATATTGTGAAGTTAGTTGCCAAAACCGGCTATTTTATTTAAGAAAAAGGGGAAAAAAGTTTGTATTGTCAGACAGACTGAATTTAATATTTTATCAGGGTGTTATTTTATGCCCTTTTTCGTGCATATAATTTCATCGTGGAAATGTGTAAAGGAATTTATTGCATGAACTTATTACCGTGTAGATATGAGATTTAATTCTATACTGCAAAATGAAAAATGTATGATATGTTTGTGTATACCCTCTTTATATTATTTTTAATTAATTTATTTATTTTTGTATTTATCATTTGCTGATTATGCTGAATGTATGCCTATTAGACAGAAAGTTTTATCTCGTTACTTCACATACTGAGTTTTTTTAACCGATAGCCACGGCGAACAGGAGTACTTTGCTGTCCTCAAACATATATCTTCAACAAATTAAAAAAAATAATGTGATAAAATTCAAGCTTTGAAGAAAAATATGTTATTATCAAAGATAATCGATTTTATAAAGCGAGTTTGGTTGTTATTTTTGAAATAGAATTAATAAATGTATTCAGTTTATGACAATTATATTTGTATAAATATAATACAATATGTTCTACTGTATTCCGTTTTTACTCATGTAGTTAATAGGTAGTTTATCCTATTACTTCGTTTTGTTGTCCAACTCTGGAAAAGAAAATGATAATTTCTAAATGTTTGTGCAAACATCATTTCAGTCATTCTTTCTATTAGTCCTTTTGTATTTAAAACAAAATTGTGATAATGTGTTGCACCTAAAACTCTTCTGCATTCGTAGAAAGGCAATGCCATTAATTAACTATAATGAACTGAAATTTGAAACAAGTGTGACCATATTTATCATCAAACGTAATTCTTGAAATAGAATATCTATAATTTATTATGTAGAATGGTATTATATTAATTGATAATGTGATGAATGTAAGCAAATTACCTTAACTCGCATATAGCAGTCCTAGAAGTAGTACATGCCACATCTGCCTATCTAAATTTAAGTAAATGGCCAAACATTGCACAGTCTTCACCTTCGAATGCATCCTGCTGCTCACTAGGTGCCCAGTCTAGATAAGGTGCTCCGGTATTTTCTCCGTCATTCAACCTCCAAATTCCCTCAACAAGTTCATCTGTCATCCCCAGTCAGTAGTCTATGTCAACTTTACATTCCAAATGATATATATATTAATTTGTAGTAAGTTGAATAAACTACTTTCCCTCTCCTCGTGATAACTTAGTATCTGTTCATTAAATATGTCATAAATATGTGTCAAGATAGACTGTATCATTAGGCTAGTTATTTGATTAGGCACCAATAACTACATTGTATCATAATTAATTTGAAAAAGTATTACATAAATTACAATAGCCATATGTATTGGAGTCTGTAAGGTCGATTTCAAAGTTGTTAACCTTTTAAGTGATCCGCCATGTAACCTTTAAGGAACATATCCTCTTCTCGAGTATCTACATGAACCAGTCCACTGTTGTCGTGTTGACGACAATATGCCTAGGATAGACAAAGTATAATATCAATGGCCCTTTTAAAATTTAAGGAGCCCTTAATTTGACATTCTACTTTTATTAAATTATATCTTTACGGTTTCAACGAAATTAGAATTCGTTTAGTAATAAAATAGAAGTCAGTAATCTTAGTATGAGAAGACTTTTCGTAATTAAAATAACCTTTTGAAATAAATGTTATATACATGCATGTATTTCGTTTAGTAGTGCCAAAGAAAAAATCTCCAAAATAGTTTATAACATTAACGATATAATTAATTAAACGTAGCCTGAATCATAGTTTTCTTTTCTCCAATCCTTTTATCAGTAGTGCTTTGGAAGACAGCAAATACCACATGAAGATAATTGGCAAAATTAATTAAGGTATTGACCTCTGCCTCTGTAAAGTGCATATGTCCTGAACCAAACAGGTAACATGATCCATGAAAGGCTAGCCATCCATCTGGGCAATCGGTGGCCGATGTTATACCTAATCAAATAAGACACATTGAAAATATATATTGACCTGAATATCTATTGAAATTGCAATAAAGGCGGAAATGTGAACACAGTAGAAATGAATTTAGACATTAAAACTTGTAACGAAATAAAGAAATACTGAGAACGTGATGGGAAATATTGTTGTGCTATTCTATACAGTAGTCATGTTTACATATTGAAATTTAGTGACAAGAATTTTTTTGTTTAAATCAAATTTTTGCGATTAAAATCAGTATTCACTCAAAGAGTGAGAGTGCAAACTGTATTCAACTAGTTTTCATACTGGTGACATTGTTTTAAAAATACATTATAACGTTTCAAAATGTGACAATTTAACCAACGAGTCATTGATAACCAACCTGTTAGTACTACGAGTAAATTCTAAAAATAAAGTACACAGTTCTGAAGGCCTCATAGAATAATAGTGATCTATAAGTCAGCTCATGAACATTAAACGCGCCTTAGTAGTGCCCACTTGTATAATTATAGATAAATTATGGACTCATATGTGTGAGGTAAAATAGTCACAATTGGAACATATAATGTTCTATGGAACCGAAGCAAAAGGAAATACGATTACTTATGGTAGTAAATTAATTACATCATTTTTTTCCGTGACCCATATAAAAGTATTTGATAAATGAGAAGTTACATAATACAGACTTACTTATAGTACAATGTTGTAAATTAAGCAATTATATCAATTAATCTCTCCGTGATTTGTACCAAAGAAATTCATTAAAGAGAAGTCACATAAATAAGTAAAAGTAGCGTTTAAAATTGCTAATTACCAATTAGAAACAATACCAGTAATAAAAGCATTTCATTTAAAGTTTACTTTTCCTTAACGTTTATCCACGTATGTGTAGGTAAAATGTATAAAATCTATATAGTACAACGTTACATTGTTAAAAGCTGGAAAGTCTTGCGTGCACGTTTAGATAAGACAATAATTATGAGCCACTGTGAGGCTATATGTTTACACTAGCTAGCTACCAACAAAATGACATACTTTAGAATTGGAAAATCTTTGGGAGGGCAATGCTCAACAGATGTAAGACTTCTTTGTGATTACATGTCTACTTTTTATACTTCAATCTGAAAATATGACGAATGTATTTTAAGGGAGACATAACTGCAATTCATTCACAGGAAAGGCTGTGAAAAAGGCTTTGGATTTGTCCCCCTTTAACAGTTTCTTTTTTAACACTTCTCTTGTATTGCAGTTCGTGTTTGTTTTGTTTTTCATGTTTATGATGTATTTTTTGAGCATAAAAAGATAATACTCTAATAGGTACAAAAACTTCTGACAGTTGAGCAATGACACACCAGACAGACTTTCCTTTCCAAAACAACTACAAAAGTTTTTTCAAAGAAGGCAAAGTCTGTTCACTCATGGATACCGAATTTCGAAATGTTGATCATCTGCTTAACTAAACCAATCAATGGTGCAAATATGTTCATCACTTCATACAGTAACATATAACATAATCACTCAGTGAAAGCAATGCCATTGTTGACAAGTCTTTTTCCTTGACTATTGTGAGTTTAAAATATTACCCTTAATAACATGATCTCGCTCCATAGTATTTCATCTGTTTCCAAATATAAAAATGTCTATTTCTGATACCCACAGTTGGTCAGATGATGACGTCATACATGCAATGAATAACTTTCTGAGCAGTGAAGAATATATATACAAAGAAAATTGTCTGAAAATTTAAACTTAAACATTTTCAATGCTAATAGATTGTCAATCAACCCTTGTAATAAAGACTTGCTTGTTTGTTTTGTTTAATTGGGATTTAAGTCACACCGACACATTATAGGTCATATGGAGACGTTCCAGCTTCACTGGTAGAGGAAGACCTCAGGTGGCCTTCCGTGCATTATTTCAGGCACGAACGGGCACATGAGTAGAACCACAGACGTTCCGTAAGCTAGCTGAATAGCTTTCATACATGAAATAATCCAAGACCCTGTCGGGATTCGAACCTGCAGCGGTGAGGGGCAAGTCAACGGGCAAGTCAAGGGTTTGAAGTCAACGACCTTAACCACTCGGCCCCGGACGTATGTCTTTGCCAATAGTTTGAGTGAATTTTCAATCCTTCCTCATCCCGTCAGTCAAGAATAATCATTTGTTATGTCTAAAATTATTTTAAAATGATCAGCGTTGCAGAAAATCGCCCAAAAGATTGATATTTAATTTGATTCTGAGTAAATTGCTTCATTGTATAATAGTTTGAAGACATTTATATTTAATATGTGTCGGTCTCAAATCGTATACCCGTACATGCATAGTGCGTAAGCTGAATTGCAGGTATTAGTTACTAAATCCCCAGTTTGCGCGCTGTTTGTCAGGGACAAAATAGAGCAGGCTTGTGATTGGCTCATCTTTTTAGTGAATTACTTACGTGACGACAGGAGAAGAGATAACAAAAGAAAAGACTCAAAAGTCATACTCAGATGCTCTCGTAGTTGTAAAATACTTTTTTCTGGGGTTTCATTGTGTTGTGTTGTGTTGTGTTGTGTTGGACTTTCTTTAGGGAATCTGTTTTTCTCTATTTTATTGTCACATCCGTGTTATTTGTGCCGTGTGGCGGCTGTAAAAAGTCTCTCCGTACATATAATCAATGATGTTATATTTTCGATCCTTGAAGATTGTTCAGCACGACATTATTGTTGTGTATACATGTTATTTGGTACTTTTAGTTTCTTCTATTTGGCCATTTTCAACTTGGGTGGTTCCAGTATTCCTACTTGAATACTGTATAATCACCCTTAGGATATGTTGCCTGCTTTTTAAATTTGTCTTCTGACGTCTTATCTGTGATATGCAGGCTTCATAACCTCAGATCCCCTTTCAAAATTCCATGTTATTTAGTTCCGCCCATTGTTTTCTCGTTTAGGGCAAAAGCATTCTTTAACTTGGGGACAATACGCCGCTTTTCATGGAATGGCACTTCTGTGTCACATTTAAGGTTCCATGATAACCGCCGTATGAACACATCTGCGGATGTTTCTAAATTCAAAATTTCACCATTTTCGTGTTAAATGTTGAATTCTGCTAAAGCCGGTGCTAGGGGGCGTGGACGGTAAATTGCACTTTCCAGTACCGTCCATGAACAGGCTCAATCAAACCGAGTCTGCAACATTTTCAATTGTGTTGTGTTGGACTTTCTTTAGGGATTCTGTTTTTCTCTATTTTATTGTCACATCCGTGTTATTTGTGCCGTGTGGCGGCTGTAAAAAGTCTCCCCGTACATTTAATCAATGATGTTATATTTTCGATCCTTGAAGATTGTTCAGCACGACATTATTGTTGTGTATACATGTTATTTGGTACTTTTAGTTTCTTCTATTTGGCCATTTTCAACTTGGGTGGTTCCAGTATTCCTACTTGAATACTGTATAATCACCCTTAGGATATGTTGCCTGCTTTTTAAATTTGTCTTTTGACGTCTTATCTGTGATATGCAGGCTTCATAACCTCAGATCCCCTTTCAAAATTCCATTTTATTTAGTTCCGCCCATTGTTTTCTCGTTTAGGGCAAAAGCATTCTTTTACTTGGGGACCATACGCCGCTTTTCATGGAATGGCACTTCTGTGTCACATTGAAGGTTCCATGATAACCGCCGTATGAACACATCTGCGGATGTTTCTAAATTCAAAATTTCACCATTTTCGTGTTAAATGTTGAATTCTGCTAAAGCCGGTGCTAGGGGGCGTGGACGGTAACTTGCACTTTCCAGTACCGTCCATGAACAGGCTCAATCAAACTGAGTCTGCAGCATTTTCAATTGTGTTGTGTTGGACTTTCTTTAGGGATTCTGTTTTTCTCTATTTCATATTGCAACGACAGGGAACGAATGTATTTTTTTGCCTACGTCCCTTCGTTTAAATCAGATAGCCTCGTGTTTCGATGCTCTTTCTATTACTTTTTATTTGCAGGCTTCTCTATGTTCAGTGCTCCACTTGTACAGTGTTAAAATTAATTTTTTTATGTTTAAGGCTTTTTGATCCGCCTTTTACGCATAAATATACAAAAACAAAATCATTCTTTGTTGTGATTATTTAATTTCATTAAATTATAATGAGTTGTTAGTTAGATAGAAAAACGCATACAATAACAACTAGCCTCGTGTCCACTAACAAAAGATCGGGATCAGGATAAACTGATCCTGATCTCTTTGTTTTATTAAACTGAAATTCAAAAGTTATTTTCCCTAGAACTAAATGGTACGAGGGATGATCAAAAATTAACCGGACTGGGACTGTCAATTGAACAATTTTCATCATATCACTTATTGTTATATATCACACCTAATCGGAAAACAATATCTGTAAGCTGATACAATATCTAATCTGATATCGCAAGTAGCTTGTCCGGAACAGCGAATTTAAAAACCATGGTAACGCACACCCGGCGCAGTGCGTAAATTTGTGCTGACATCAGGCACTAAATGGTGCGTATATTTTACAATACGGCGCTTTTAGATTTTAAAATACGCCAAAACGTCATGAGCCATATCTTTGACGTTGTCAAAACACATGACTTCATTTAAACCATATTTATATTTGCAATCACAATTCAAACGTCACTTGTTAAAGAAAAACTCACGTTAAAAGTATATCGTCCGAACGTCTCGAAAATCGATCAATAAGAAAAGTTTGTCAAATGTAAGGCGAGAAACTGTTTAAATCGTAGAAAAAGATTATGGCTACCATCGGAAAAGATCCAAAAAGCCACAACATAGTTTTTGATTAGCATAAACGATTAAGAAAGGGTAATAGAGAAATGGAAAACAAGTAAGGGAGAGGCAATTAAGAAGAAAATTTCAAGGACGTTGGTGACGTCAATCGCCGAGACGTTAAAAAATGACAGTCGATTGACTGCAGAGATTGTCAACTATGTTCAACAGTAGCTAAGTGACGGTTCAGTCAACGCTGAGTTTTTTGAAATGATAATTGCTTATTTATTAATTACATATATCATTTTTTTGGTTTACAATTGTATAGATTATTTTTATTCTTTTTCGTAAGAGTCTAATGGAGAACTTGTGTCAATAATTTAACAGTCAGGGTTCAAAATCGATTATGCGTTTTATTTATTTTAAAATAATAGCAATTTTGTTCTTAGTTGTATTTTTTTTATTTTCTCGAATGTTTGTATGATACACTGTATCAATGAAAAAGACATAATATTGTTTATTGCATGTGCGATTTGTACAGAAGGAAATCACGGAAGTTTGCGTCATTAAAGGAGCACTTTATCATAATCCATTCTATTACAATACAATATGATACCAACTTGTACAGAGATATATATAGGCAGTCGATCCGCTGCCATAAACAACATAATTATGGAACACGTATTGGCCTACCACGTGAATGAGTAAAAAACTGCTCCGTTAAAGACAATACGCTTGTGACGTCGTTAACGTCAATTTTAAAGTTATACCGTGCGCCGCATTGCTTTACATGTGCATGCCAATAACAGCATAACTTTTTTATTTGTTAATATTTCTTATTGGTATTTTTTTGTATCATTTAGGGGATAGATTCCGATTTATGTTTCGTGTATTTTTATGTAAATGAATTTAACAGGCAAAAAGTGATCTACAAAGTCCGGTTAATTTTTGATCATCCCTCGTACATGAACAAAATATAAAAAAAACTGATTTGCGAAGAAACAAGCAGATATCGAGATGATATTTGCACCAACCAAAACAAGTAAATGATCGAATCAAAATAAGGATAAATTTTGTGATCAGGATAAATAATTTTCGCAACTGTAAAATACGCATACCTTGTTAAAAAACTATAACATTATTCTTAAATTTCAAACTCATGATATTTTGTATCAAAATCCATAAAATTGATATAATTGATTAACTCACTGAGAATAATTCATGGAGGATATGGGATTTTTTTGTTTTCAAATTTCATTCTGATCATAAAATCACGGGACAAATTGCATCAAATTAGTTTAAAGTGAAAGGTTATTGTAAAATGATAATACATAATAATAATAAAAATATTTGAAATGTTATTTAAAACGTTTTTACTCATTACACATTTATCATTTACCACTTTGAAGAAATTATGAATAGAAGGTAAAAGGACTAATGCCGTATCTTTTTTAATTTGTAGCTTATTCTTTAAAATGTAAATTATAACAATGATTTCATGTTGTCCCAGTTTAAATCAATTAATCTTCACTTTTTGAATTAAAGATTTATATCGTTATATTCTCATTATATCTATAAAATACAAACGCATTATTGGACAAATGCACTTTCATGTGTTATTAATAAGTACTGTAATATTATTTAGATTCATGTCATAAAAGTAATGTTAAGAAGCGGCTAAATTATGTATAAATATAGTTATAATGCTTATTTCAATTTTCATAAAAATTGTTCTCGCTATATACAATAAAGATATCTTTCAATGAGGCAATACCACAAGACATTTCCTCAGTGTGTTGTCGAAGAAAATGCTTGTTTAACTCTTGATTCTCATTCTGGAAATGAAAAATAATAATTATTTATCTTTCAGCAAATTAAATGCAAATTTCCGCTATTTGTCGGTAAATACAATTGTACAAATTACATTGTTTAGCAATAATTTCCTTACGATTTTACAAAACAATGTTGATGCATATAATAGACCAATAATGTTGATTTTATCTATCAAAAGTGTCTGTATATTTAAAATTAAACAATTATATCTTAATTTAGACATTACTTAAAGGCGTTAACTGGTAACCTGAGAAATTTGATTCTTCTGACAAAAGCTCAATAAAAACATGGAAATGACAAATTTGTTTGGGTCCTTTATTTGACATGTTTGAAACGTGAACGCAAATTATAAAATTAAAGTATACCTTTTCTCACACAAGGGAGTTGTTTTTCTATAGCAATGAATATCTGACCACCTATAACCATTAATCTGTTCAAACCAAACACAATCTTCATCTTTTGGATGAAGATGAGGTTCAGATGGACCCCAGTCAAAAAATGTCGCTTCCGTGCCTCTTTGTTGCCATATCCACTTTCCTGATGAATGTTCGGTCAGTCCTGACCAGTACGAGGTCTCTAAATATACACAAACATTATCATTCATTGACCACGCATTGTACCTATTTTTGGACTTATGTGTAAAACACGGGCAAAGTGATTTTATTTAAATTTACGTTAGAAACCGCATCTTGGCTTTTCAGGATTTTAATTTCGTGTTATGTGAGAAAACGAACAATCTTAAGAGGACCATGTCAACAATATTAAAAACTGCAAAACTACATACTTAGCTTGAAAGGCAACAATAATTTCTCACGATCCTAGCACCGGCTAAACTAGTCTCAAACATCAATATTGAAAGTGTTGGAGGAAATTATTCCAAATGACGAGGGAACTATAACAATTCAGTATGAGGCAACGTTGCCAGGCAGCATTTGCCACCCACTAGCTGAACCAAAAACTGAACCATGGTTAAAGTTCTTTATTACATTCACAATTATTTACTTTACGCTTGCCTGAGAATTTCGAAATTGATTCACGGTGTTTTGTTTTAAACAAAAATAAAATAATGCATCTACTGAGTATTAGTCAAACATAATACATTATGAGATAGCTTTATATACTTTTGCTGACATTTTGTTGCAACATGACTTCATTTTTAAATATTTAAAATAACGTTCGTGTAAATTATAATACCATTAAAAATGAAACTGTACTCACCATTCTGTACTCCTTCAATAGTTTTCATGAAACTTTTCAGAAAATCATTTTCTTCTTTTGTTTCCACGACAACCATATAAGAACCTCGTTCTGTGCAAAATAGCTGCAAAATATAAAGAAGGATTAATACACACAGTAAACAATGGTAAACAATGTTCAAGTAAACATATCGATTATACTGTATGAGCGTTTTTAATAAAAAAAAAAGGATTTATTTTTCACTCATTCTTTTTAAATAATCTGTAAGTAAAAAAAACGATATTCCTACGAAAACCGATTCTCAGAACGCTCAAACAACAATACAAAATTTCAAATACGATCCACGTTTAATTTATTTACCTTCGCTGCATTGAATGAAAGTTTTCCTGCACCAAATAGGTAACAATTATCATTGAAAGTCACCCAACCATTTGGACAGCCTACGTAAATTTTGATATCAGTTTAATTTTGGTATCCAAAAGGATATGAATTATAGATAAATACAAAAGTGATTACAGAATTAATGTCAAAATGTTTTAAAATAGTTTAAATAAATAAAGTTTTTTAATATGAATTTCAAAAGTTATTTCCTGCTTTAAATTTCCTTTCTTACTTTTGATCTATGCGAACTATAACACTGACAAAATTAGCAAAGAAAATACATATATAAAAAACAAAACTCACCAGCCCACTTCAATATCTTGTCTATTTTAGATTCCAATACTGCAAGCCGTACAAGAACATCGCTTTCACGTTCTTCGCTTGACTCTAAAAAACTTGTAGAATCATCGGAGCTTTCTTCTATGTTAATAACAACACTGTCTGAAGTGTGTAATAAAAACAGACTAAGGCCAGAAAATATGAAGATCATCCTGCTTGGTTGTAAACTTTCTATTAAATGGGAACAGAGCAAAAATTTACTCTATGCGTATTAGCGGTTGCAAATCACCGTTCGGATTGTTCTGCATGTCTTCTTTTTGACAAAAGACAAATGTTTTAAAAACTTTTTTTCAATGCAATAGAAAAGAAATTGCCGCTGGTGAATGAAACGTATTGTTTTAAAAGATAGCAATCCTTTTTCAAATGTACATTTATGTAAAAACAGGAAGTAAATTCATCATAAAACAATGGATTGTATAAGAAAATGTGAATATACACCTTCTTTTTAAACCACTTCGCCTCAAAAACTGTTGTAAAAAATTAAGTACAAACGCACTTCCTGGAGGGAACTTTACAAATTTAACATCAGCCTTTTTTTATTGATTAGTGCATAAGTACTTGAAAGCATTGTTTTATAAGACAAACTGTTGTCTGAAATCTTTTGCGAAATCGTCTATGAAATCTTACTTTTAAATAAACTGGTATGAAATATATTACATACAAAAGCATCATCCATGAATTACAAACAATTCGATTTCAATGTTTTTAATACTAGAATATAGTGGTCCGCTGTGAAGCTTTTGAGAAACATATTATCTTCTTTTGTATCGACATGAACCAATCCACTGTTGTCATGTTGACGACAAAACTTCATGTATATAATAACAATGCCCAGAGCTTACATATGTAGAATATAGCACTGACAACCAGACCTACATTACTGGTACTGGTACTGCAGTGATTTTGCAAGTAATGGTACTGATACTGAATAACTCTTGCAAAATGTTGCTACTACTGGTACTGGTACTGGATTAGAAAACCAAGTTATAAGAACTTAAGAAATTACATTACATGAAAATTTAACTTTGAAGTTTGTATAAATTTTTGTTGTAGTGTGTTTTTGAAACTGTTAAAAGAAATCATTTATAAAAAGAGATTCATCATAAAGGATTAATTAAACAGAGAGAGGGGAGAGGGTTGTGAAACATCTCAAAATTGCCAACAATCACTATTTTGATTTTTTCCTTCCAAACTGATTTCAAAGTACAGAAAATTCTCAATGGATTGAGATAGAGGCAAAGGTGTATCAGCGTAAGTTTCACGTTACCTTCTGCTCAACCTGAGGCCAATTTAGCCTCTCACAGGTCCAAAATCTTCTTAGCGATAAGGTTGCCACTCTTCAAACCCCTAAACAGAAGGGGACGCATCCCCCTCTGACAACCCCCCCCCCCTGAATGTTTCTGATAGGGGGCGGCGTCGAAAAAAGCGATCACTTTTTCTGACAATATTTCTCAACAAAACATGTACAGGACATTTTTCACTATTTGATGCCTAAAATTGGGGGGGGGGGGTCGAAAGTTTTGTGTATATATGAGGTAAAGTGTTAACAGAAAATGATGAAAAATTTTGGCATTAACCATAATCGAGTTGTTTCATGTCAAAACATGGCCTTTAACTTAATTATGAAGAAAAATGTTCTTTGTTGGCATTTTTTATTTCTTTCATTAAAGTTGTAAAAATGCAATGTTAACATCTGCATCTGTAGAGAGGGTGTTTCAGTGGCTGGAAATATAGCTACTATGAATGACAAAACATTCCAAATTGTTAAATGATCAAATGTAATCAACGAACATCACTTCACTAAAGTGTGCACATAATAAATGGAAATACTTGTTCAAAAACGTATAATACATAATGTGTTGTTTTTTGTTGTTTTTTATTTGACAATGTGTATTTATTCAAACTATGATGAATATGTAATAGTACTGGTACTGATACTTAATTACTACTTTAAAATAGTGCTGGTACTGCAGTATCGAGCTAAAATCTAGTACTGGTACTGGTAATAGTACTGCATAACTTGGCAAGTACTGGTACTTTAGTATTACACCCTTAGTACTGTTGCAACCCTGCTGACAACTGGACCTCTATAACAATTACATGACCCTGAAATCAGAATATATCTTAAAATGCTTCTTCAAATAAACTTTAACGCTTAAAGCTTAAAAAATTAACATGTAGCATCACCTTTTGGTCCACTACAAAAGATAAAGGAATCATGCCACTAGGACCAAAATTAGCCCCTTCTTCGTTGTTATTTAGTGTACATAGACATGTACAGTGTAGAGTGTATTTCTTTAAGCTGCTCAATGTAAGAATTTTAATGTTTTAAGGCCTCAGTGGAGCTCCTTTTAATAATAAACTTAATTAACATTTTAGAAGAGACACATTCGCTGTCAGTTAGTATGTTTACATTTTCATTTTGTAATTTAACAAACAATTGCCAAATTGCTAAGTATTCAATAAGTTTTTCCGACAGTCTATAGATATCATTTTGATTTATTTGGTACTAAAAACCCTACATTTGATAAATGGCTAAAATAATGCTTATATTTAAATCGCGTTGACTATCTTTGAATAATAATAATTTGCCATATCAATTTTACTGTTCTTTTTTTTCTTAGACAGTACTTGATGAATCAATAAATCTATCTTTGTTGAACACACACAGATGATATGAGATTTTATTTCCGTTATAAACATGTCATACTTTTCAATGAGTTGATAACGATAAAACAGTACTTGACAGCATTTGGCCATACTTATGTTTTCTAGTTATAAATTATGTCTTTTTACCAACATAAAAATCAAAATATGTAACATGAAAACAATAAACAATGATCGCAGTAGGTGTTATTAAATTTCTGTAAGATGACTTGACTTCTATAACTTCATCAATATTTTTCCTATACAAACATTACTGTTACTGCGATATTAACATTACATAAGCTGCGGTATAAATATCATAACTGTGGTTATGTGGTTGTAACATTTTGCATTCGGCCTAAGAGGGTGATTGATAGTGTATAAAATGTGTCCAGTTAACTTTCTCGACTTTCTCAACGACTGCGGTTGCCCACTTGTTATGAATTTATTCTCATTTTTAGATCGTCAGTAACAATACGCTGCACAGTGCAATACGAGAGAGAGTGTTGTTCTGCAATACCTCGCACCGTGTTCCCGAAATAATGCTGCAGTCATGCAGTTGATTTCGCGCAAAAATAAATGTGCATTTATTTTTACAGCACACCAATGTGTGTTTGTGAAATCACAATTATTATTCATATACCTGATAAAGAAATTAAAAATAAGTGTTATTAAATAGCGTGTTAAACAAAAGACATTATGTTTGAGAAGGGCATTCTGCGAATTAATCAGTTAGCACTCGTATCTATATGAAACTGTAGGATACTCGTTCTGTTCGAAATTTGTTGCCAACAATATTTGCAAGATATTAGGCATTCTGAGATATATATAACATGTGACCAAATTGGTCTCATCCTGGTTATATTCTCTCGTAAGCAAAAATTATAATGCATTTAAATCCGCAAGGCCGCTTCACAGTCTAGCTACATATACTTGTACTACTACATGCATATCATTAGATAAGGTGTGTCATACATCTATTTCATGCTTAAAAAGAAATGATCATGTAATCTGTATAAGCAACGGACGTTAATAATTTTATATTCCGGTTAACGGCTTATCTGACTTCGTATTTTGGGGAAAAGTGTAAGAAACTGTGTAAGAAAATGTTAAAAAAACGCAATCTGTTGCGCTAATCAAGTCTTACTGCTCTGAATTTCATATAAATCTAAATAATTTTGTCATGTAGAAAAATCTAATATTTTAGTTTAATTATATCACGTAAAAACCTAAGAAAACAACTACAAAAAAGTTATCCATGGCACTTTTGTACTTTTGTGTTTAACGTTGCGACAACATTGTATAGATCATATGGCGACATTGGAGGAATACATCAGATACCTTTCATAACATTAAATCAGACACAAGCGGGCACCTGAGTAGAACCACCGACTTTCCATAAGCTATCTGGATAGCTTTTTTCTCATATGATTAATCAGAAGAAGCTAGTGCGCTCGAACCTACAGAGATGAGAGGCAATTGGTTTGAAATCACGGCCACGGACGCCTCTACTTAACAGCAAGAGAACTCCAACGATGGAATTTCTTAAAACCTAACTCCTCGCTTTCAAAAAAAATTAAAGTTGAATTCAAACACACATGTCATTATTAACAAAGTCAATGTTGTCTCACTATCAAATCAACAAATGCACAGACGACATGTCAATAATTAACACGCTGATAATACTACAAAAAATGTTTTCGTTTTGAAAGTATTTCGTTTAGGAAAATTATTCATCATCAGTTTCAGGAACACCTTGAAAGACGTTTTCCAGCACTACTTATCCAATGTAGCCAAGTCTAACAAAGTGTGTTCATAACAGAAGTATGCGTCTGCACATTATTTAGCAGATTCATCATAGTCAGTCTTTTTTTAAAATTCTGATTTAGCAGCAGGAATTACATGAGTGAAAATATTCAAGAGTGACAATTTTTAGAGCCGGTAAAGCACCTGTCAGAGGCAATCTCGTATGTAAAATCAATGCCTGTTATTTAAAATGGCAACAATATAATTCATTTAATTTTAAGCAGGATATAATTTTGATTCAAATGTGAAGGCATTTGGCAAAAGTTTTGTGCATTTGAATATTATGGAATTTAAACAATAGGCGATGAATTTCTCTTACTATTCTTAGGTTAGTGTGATTGAGACGCCAAATTTCAAATGAAAGAGGTGGGCCGATAATATATCGAGTTCTTGTGTCTCTTATTGTCTTGGGACTAGAATTATAAACTATTTCTGATTGGTGTTTTCCCTTCCTCCTTTTGAAAGAAAATCGGCAAACCTAACAAAAAATGAATGGCATGCGAAAGCAAATCTTTTTAATAAATACCTCACGTGATATGGCTTCTTATATTTCACAGATTAAAATGTACAAGAAAGAAACACCATCTACCCATTTAATACGGTACTTAAATCAATTCACTTATGCTCATGTTTGCGCATTCTATTTAACATTTCATGTTTGAAAAATGTTGGTATAATTTTTTAACCAATTGAAACAAAGATATGAAATATGGATTTGATATGTAGTAGCACACATTTTGCTGATACTTTAAAAATAATGGAATAATATTCTTTTTTATTTTCTCTTTGTGTAGATTAACAAAATTGAAAGGCTATAAGTGTAATTGACAATGTAGCTGTTTTTCAAATAGTGCGTGGCAGCATAAGAATAATATTACCTCTTGATACAATATTTAAGTAAGTTACTTATTTTGGAATGAGATCCCAAAACGCACGTAAGTGATATTTCATGAACGCAAAGTCGATGCAACAAGAATTAAATTAATTTCATGAAAGCGAATTTATTACTTCATACAAAATGAGTGAAATTTACCAGGAATAGCGTGATTTATGTGTCATTTAATCAGGAGAACATAATCAAGAGGATTTAGAACATTGTATTGAGACATTTGAGAAATTCATACAGGATCAAAGTAAACTAAAATGCATAAGAGAGGCCGAATCATGGTGGTTTGACAAAGTTATATCTACTGCAGAAGGTCTGATGTTAGTTTTAGAAAATATATTTTCAGTTAACATTGTTGCAAGTATTTTCTACTAAGCCGTCTTTAATATAACATCTAAACTGCTAAGAAGTGACATTTTAAACGACCTAGTAGAATATAACTTGTTCCCAGATCTGAAGAAAGCCGTTCACACACTGCAAAAGATCTTAAGTAATTCTTGTCGGCATTTACAATGATATATTACGAAATGCCAGCAACTTATCAGAAAGAAATGAAATTGCTGATGACATAGTAAGTCACTTCAATATTCATACTGCGGGAACGTCTGAGGGCAGTGATCGAGATCATCTTACAGATTCAATGATGGTAAAGATAGAGTGGTACTGTTTTGTGTATTTGATGATGGAATTTATTATCTTCTAGCTATTAAACTTAAGAACATATGTAATGAGAGTTCATCAGGTTTATCAGATGTTCTTGTAAGTCGCAAAAGCGAAGATAAAGAATTGTGGTCGTTTTTGTACAATCCGAACGCAAATACTTTGAAATTGTTGTTTTTGAAGTACACATTCGAAAAGAAATGGTCTCTAGTGAATATATTTTTACAAAGTAGAGGTTTATTGGTTGACAACTTCGCTAGGCATGACATCCATCAGCGCGTTTTTTCAGATTGTAAAAGCTGATAACCGAAGAATAAGGCTTTACTTACACGACTGTTTTTCCTTCTTCTGCATGCGAGCACATAGAAACACCATGGTCAGGAAAACATATTTAAAGATAGAATGCCAAGATATTGGGAGAAGTACACTTTCGTTGTTCACAACACATCGCTTTCTGGTATCGAAACACGCCTGGACACGATATACATGACATATTCACGACTCTTTAAAAGAATCTAAAAATACATGACATATCCACGACTCTTTAAAAGAATCTTAACACACATGACATATTCATGACTCTTTGAAAGAATCTAAAAATGACATATTTACAGCTCTTTAAAAGAACGACTCTTTAAAAGAATTTAAAGATACATGACATAGATACGACACTAAGATATTGACCAAATAATTTTTTAAACACACGTGAGAAAGATTTGACTCTTGACTATTGGCCAAAAAAACCTATATTCACAAATTTCATAAAAGGAAATCATGTCAAAAGATATTGACATTTGATAGTGGTCATGTATATAGTTTCATTTGCATGTCTTCATATGTTTTGAAGATTGACATTTAATGCTTAATTGTAACCAAACATGTTTAAGTTCACTTAAAGTTCCCAAATTGATGACTGTGTCCGCTATTCTAATTTCATTTGAACATGTACATAGAGATTCGTAAATATACAGATACTATCAGACATTTATTTAAAATTCTAACACTATCGGAAATCTTTTCTATATAAACAAAGAAGGCCCGAAGCGTGCAGTATTCTACAACAATGCACTCGCCGTTCTTATTATCTCCCAGTGCATTTTCACATTGTGAAGATAATAAGAACGGGCGCCAATTTGTTTGAAAAATCTGATAAATAAAAACATTTTTTGTCGAATTTTGTTGTGAAAACTATCTAGAATGAAAGAAACTGGTCTAACTAAGAAAATGAATCCGAACACCAATATCTGTTATTCAGTCGTTAACGCTGTACAGACGTTTAAAGTATTGTTTACGTGACGTCACAATGTAGCGCCAAACAGCACGTGCAAAACAATCAAATCAAGTACGCTATTTTAATGTCGCAAACGAGTAAAATTTTACATTTATTTCACTTTTAATAATATTTATTTCGCTTGAAAAATTATAGAGTGAAATAAAATAAACAACAGTTTTATCAACGTTTTCAAAATGCGTTATTCTCAAAATGTTTCTACACACGGAAGATTTAACGACAGTTTTTTTTTCATACCACTGTAACAGCCTTTAAAGGACGTTTCTATTGGAAACTATGAGGCGAAAACAAATTTAATCACCACACATAAAGTCCAACATTATAATAATAATTATATTTTTTCTAGACGTGTTAGAATGGAAATTGGAAATAGATATAAATTCTTTGTGCATTATTCTATAATAATGCACGTTTTTCGTTCAAATGCTTTGTAATTAATCACTAAGGTCTATCGGCCTTCGTAATTATATAACTACGCATTTGAACTCAATCCGTGCATTATTCTACAACAATCCACTCAGAATCGATATCTATTTCCTAAATATTTTGACAAACCGCAGCTTAAGTACTTCAGGTGTTACAATCACAAATCATGGCAAAACAAACTGCATGTACAACATAACACGGTTTCATGAATATTTTTATTCATTTGATACTACAACAATTAAGTGAAAAATGAGATTCTGTCCTTCACATTATCACGGAGTTGAATAGTGTATGCATATCTGTGACATTATGTACACACAAAAAATAACAACGTAATATGCGGAGAATATAATATTCAACATAAATCTACTGGGTAATAAATGTAATATACGCCTAAACCAGTTGCATGTAAATTACATCAAATACTGTTTTCTATGAAAATTAAAATTGAAATTTCTCCCATACAAAAGGAATATAAAATGAATAACTGATATTCATTTCCTAAGTCCCTTTTATAAAACACTCGTTTTCAAAACTTTCTCAGTCAAAAGCTATTGTACATGTATATAAACATACAAAGAAATTATATAACAAGGAAATGCTTAAATCACTGCGTGGTTGTATCTTCCCTTTGGTTTGCGAGGCTCAAATATTTAAAGCGTTGAAGCATTGTCATGAAGCAGTGAATGCTACGCAATATCAGTGTGTGTCTGACAAGAAATTTCTAAAGGTTTTGATTTTCAATTTCCCATTTGTAAAGCTTTATGGTTTTGTCTCCCAATTTAAACAACAACTGTCTCCATACTGTCCAGTTTGACTCTATCAGCATCGAGCAAAGGTCAGACGGTTTTTGTTCCATTGCAGAAATACTCATGTTTATAGCTTCATCTTTCACGGTGATATGCTGTGCTTCACCAAGGCCTTGTCTTGCATCCACCAATGCCTGGACGTAGTCACATTTTCTTGTCGCGCTGAAAACATTGTAAATAGGTGTTAAGAACGGAGAAAATGTTAGTAAATTGTAGCTGGAAAGTAGACGGGCGAGTCTTCCGTTTCCATCACCAAATGGATGTAATGAAAGGAAACAAAACAGAAACAGACTTGAACATTTAAAATACATTTTTGCTCTTTCTTCATCTGAAATATTTTTCTGTCTTATGCTTTCAATTATTTCATTCACTTTATCAACTAAAGTCTGGATAGCTTGTTCAGCTACAGCTACATTTTCAAATTTAGGGTATTCGTGTGTTTTCCCGTTAAATTCAGCTGTTCTTGGGTACGTACTAAAATTACCGGGAGGTGTACCTTCATGCATGATGTCTTCCATCAGAATGTTATGTGTATGCTTTATCAAAGACTCAACTTCTATGAAACCTTTACTATCATGCTTTCCAGAAAAAAAATCAATTTCTTTATTTGGAGTATTGGCTTCAGCCATATCATCTATTGATTTTTTAAGCTCATCTTTTATATGCTTGTAGGCAAGGTACAAATTAGTGGTCTCCTTCGTACTTTTGGTTGGCGTTTTACCCGTTTCCTGTATCTTGTCATGGATACTACCAATTTCGTCAAAATCTAAACTTGGTAGTTCAAGTGAATTATGTCTTTGATACGACCCTTCAGATTTATTTTGAAGCAGCTGTTCAACACGTGTCGACATGGCACCATTTATTTCTTTATCAATATCTTCCATAATTGATTCCGTCAAAGTTTCTTCTTGTACTCCAATACCTTCTTTCTTTCTGTATAGTGCATAAAAATCTAACAAGTAACCATCTGTGAAATTTTCCTTTCTTTTAGCTTCTGTTGAATTCCCTTTAGTCGCTCATAGGTTTCCTTTATAAATAACTATATCTTTTAGCATCTCAGAAATAGTTGGTGCCTCTGTGGTCCTCGTTTCTAGTCGCCATTTCGGTATTTCTGTTGGTTCAAATGCAAGGAAATGTTCCACATTGCCTGATGACCATATGCATTGACCTGTAAAACAGTTCTTATCGATACAGATATCAGGTATATTACAGATTTATACATTCTATCGAAGTGCATAGTGATGAAAATATGGTGGCTGATTTTTTTCATTCGTGTTTTTCGCCCCGCGACCCCGCCAAGCGAAAAGTCGGGAATTAACAAGTTAAAATGGCGGGGGCGCTAAGGAAAACACGTTAATAAGCGGGGCGCGGGGCAAATTTTTATAAATAAAACTTCACCCCGCGGAGGCGCGGAGCGAGATTTAAAGGAGTTAAACGGCGGGAATGCGGAGCGAAAACACGCTAATAAGCGTCCCCGCTTATCAGCGTGTTTTCGCCTCGCGTCCCCGCCATTTTAACTTGTTCATTCTCTACTTTTCGCTTGGCGGGGTCGAATCAGTTTTACGCTTAGATGTCTGCGAAGTGCGCCATTTTCCTTAGGCAGTAGTATTTATATTGAAATAAATTTGATCTTTTGTCAATTTAAAGCTATTACATTGGTATATCTAAGTTACCAAATATCCTGAAATATTGACAGATGGAGTCAGTTAATTAGTTCATTTTACAAAAAGAAAATATCAGTAACTTTCTATATATGAGAATAATATGTTATATAGCACGTACGGAAGGTAAAACTGGCTATACCAAAATGCACTGAAAAAGAATAAAGTTAAAACAAATACTCTATTCCTTCCTTCATTACAATAATGTCTATTGATAATCACATCATATATTATAAGGTCCCAGAATATCCAAATGATATGACATTTTTTGTTTGTTTATAACATAGTGTCAATAAAATGCTGCAGTAGAAATACTTGCAAATAAAATGAGAGAATATGCAATAAATATTTTAGGTGAAATTATCCTACATAAATATTTCTATTAAAGCTCAATGGATTAAGATTAAATATTTAAATACATCTGCTTCAATAACATCATATCTGATCACGGTTTAAATCTAAAGCCGAGGTCTGGTGTATGCGAAAGTTATTTTTATGTTTTATCACGAAACATATCTAATGTACAAATATACATTTAATCATATATCATACTACAAAGTTACGAAAGGGTAATTTTCTCATTCAATTTTTACAATGTATGCACAAATGCATTATACATGTATACAAGGGTGCCATAGTCACAAAATACGCCCGTTTACGAAAGCTTTAGATGGAGATGGGGGCAATATGGATAAGTGTTATCTAGCAAGCAAGTTTTTATCCTTAGCACTGTGTTGTTAAATGAACCTTAAAACAAATCAGTAGGGAAGATATGCACAGGATGTGTGACCTTGACCTTGGTCGCAGGGACCTGAATTTTATGCACGACACTCAGCCTTACAATGATGAACATTTGTGCCAAATTATATTGAAATCCCTCTATGCATGTAGAAGTTTTGCTCCAGATAAGCGTTTTGCTATGAGCTCTAACTGTGACCTTCACCTTTGACCTAGAGACTTGGTTCATGTGCAGGGCACTACGTCTCATGGTGGTGAACAATTCTATAAAGTAACGTTAAAATTCCTCCATGCATGTAGAAAATATGCTCCGGACAACATGTGGATATTTAATCATCTCCAGTGACCTTGACCTTGCAAATATTAACCTAAATTAAATGTGTCACACCTGTAGTCATAATAGTTACCATTTGTGCTACAATCCATCAATAAATGATGACTAAATGGTCCCTATACACATCTGCAAATGTTATCTGAACTTTGACCTCTATGTGTAACCTTGACTTTGGTCGCAGGGATCTGAATTTTGCGTGCGACACTCAGCCTCACAATGGTGAACATTTTTGCCAAGTTATATTAAAATCCTTCTATGAATGTAGAAGTTTTGCTCCAGACAAGCGTTTTCAATGAGCTCTAAGTGTGACCTTGACCTTTGACCTGGAGACCTGGATCATGCATGGAGCAATACATATCATGGTGGTGAACATTTCCATAAAGTATTATAAAAATTCTTCCATACATGTAGGAGATATGCTCCAGACAAAATCTGGATATTTCACCATCTTTAGTGACCTTGACCTTGCATATATTGACCTAAAGTACATGTGTCATAGCCGTAGTCATGATAATGACCATTTGTGTTACAATCCCTCAATAAATGAAGATTAAATCGTCCCTATACACATCTTCATATTTTTATCTAAACTTTGACCTCTATGTGTGGCCTTGACCTTGGCTGCAGGGACCTGAATTTTGTGCGCGACACTCCGCCTCACAATGGTGTACATTTGTGACAAGTTATATTGAAATCCCTCTATGCATGTGGAAGTTTTGCTCCGGACAAGCGTTTTTCAATGAACTCTAAGTGTGACCTTGACCTTTGACCTAGAGACCTAGTTCATGTGCGTGACATGGCTTCTCATAATGGTGAACATTACTTTGAAAATTTCGTTAAAATCCCTCCATGCGTGTAGGAGATATGCTCCGGACAAAATCTGGATATTTCATCATCTTTAGTGACCTTGACCTTGTATATATTGACCTAAAATTATATGTATCACAGCCATAGTCTTGATAATGACCATTTGTGTTACAATCCCTCAATAAATGATGACTAAATGGTCCATATACACATCTTCATATTTTTTATCTGAACTTTGACCTCTATGTGTGACCTTGACCTTGGCCGCAAGGACCTGAATCTTGCGCGCGACACTCCGCCTCACAATGGTGAACATTTGTGCCAAGTAATATTGAAATCCCTCTATACATGTGGAAGTTTTGCTCCGGACAAGCGGTTTTCAATGAGCTCTAAGTGTGACCTTGACCTTTGACCTAAAGACCTGGTTCATGTGCGCGACACTGCTCCTCATAGTGGTGAACATTTCTATGAAGTTTCATTATAATCCCTCCATACATGTAGGAGATATGCTCCGGACAAAAACTGGATATTTCATCATTTAGTGACCTTGACCTTGTATATATTGACATATATTATATGTACCACAGCCATAGTCTTGCTAATGACCATTTGTGTTACAATCCCTCAATAAATGATGACTAAATGGTCCATATATACATCTTCATATTTTTATCTGAACTTTGACCTCTATGTGTGACCTTGACCTTGGCCGCAAGGACCCGAATCTTGCGCGCGACACTCCGCCTCACAATGGTGAACATTTGTGCCAAGTAATATTGAAATCCCTCTATACATGTGGAAGTTTTGCTCCGGACAAGCATTTTTCAATGAACTCTAAGTGTGACCTTGACCTTTGACCTAGAGACCTGGTTCATGTGCGCGACACTGCTCCTCATAGTGGTGAACATTTCTATGAAGTTTCATTAAAATCCCTCAATACATGTAGGAGATATGCTCCGGACAAAATCTGGATATTTCATCATCTTTAGTGACCTTGACCTTGTACATATTGACCTAAATTATATGAATCACAGCTATAGTCTTGATAATGACCATTTATGTTACAATCCCTCAATAAATGATGACTAAATGGTCCATATTACACATCTTCATATTTTTATCTGAACTTTGACCTCTATGTGTGACCTTGACCTTGGCTGCAAGGACCTGAATCTTGCGCGCGACACTCCCGCCTCACAATGGTGAACATTTGTGCCAAGTAATATTGAAATCCCTCTATACATGTGGAAGTTTTGCTCCGGACAAGCATTTTTCAATGAGCTCTAAGTGTGACCTTGACCTTTGACCTAGAGACCTGGTTCATGTGCGGGACACTGCTCCTTATAGTGGTGAACATTTCTATGAAGTTTCATCAAAATCCCTCCATACATGTAGGAGATATGCTCCGGACAAAATTGGACGCCGCCCGCCCGCCAGGGGCGTTCCCATAATACATCCCGTTTTTCAAACGGGCGTATAATAAGTGATTTCGCACATATAACCCCAAAAACATTTGTAATTTATTTTGTCAGTAAAATCTTCCTTGAAGTCAACGAGGAATATAACGTGACCTTTGCCAAACGTTTTATTCATCATTAATGTATGAATGCAATTTTAAATACCATAATAAATTGAACTATTCAATAAAATCATTAAAATTTTATGTATACTTCATTATTACATACGATAAATTCATTAGTCATTTTAGTGTAATAACAGTTTCGCGTAAACGTCGGTACCGTCTTTTGTCTAAGGTTCTGAATGACCGGGTCACGTGAATCGGTGGGAAGATGCAATCTCTTCTCTGGCAGCGTGTTTTTTCTCCCTGTACCCGCCGTTTATTTCTTAAATCTCGCGAGACAAAGTTTAATTTATTAAACCTTTCCCCGAACCCGGCTTATTAGCTTGTTTTCGCTCCGTGCCCCAATCACTTAACTTGTTAATTCACGATTTTCCGCTTGGCGGGGTCGAGAGGCGAAAACACAAATGCACAAAGTAGCCACCGTATAAAATAGTTAAAATTGAAATTATAAACTAAAGGTCGTTCAATACGGCCTGGTTTAATGTAATTCTTTATGTACAGAACAAGTAAATATAAGTTATCTGCTGTATTAGCATAGCTATGAATTTTGGACTTGTTTTATTGAGAATTTCGAAACATTTCCAAATGTGTTTATACGACAATCATCATGATAACTTAAAGGTATCACTTTTGTGCCTTTCAAAAATAAATTTTTTACAAAAAATTCAATAATTCTCACTTTCTTTTTCTCCGTTTCTGAGGCGGGGCCTTTTGGATTCAGATCTGTCCTGAAAATATAAGGTCAACTTGTTGCACATCGTGTGAAGTAATTGTCACACTTGATGATATGTATTTATATATATATATATATAATTGATTTTTTTAAATGCAGATTTAAAGCTGCACGCGCTCCAGATGAGCCAAAATGTTTCAAGAAAATCAATATTGAGAAAAATGTACTAAAATTTTAAGTAAAGTAAAAACATTCAAGATCCAAGTTATATTTTTCTTGCTATATGCGGTTTAAGAATGATTTTGCAATATTTTATTACCATATTTCTACTGCGTAACTAATGCAGTAAGGGATTTTTCCATATGTTGACCACTTTTTTGGTAATTTTCTTGGATTGTAAGTTCTTATTGCAAAATGCAAATTACTTTATTTGTTCACCTAATAATATTTTACTTTTAAATACATTTTTTCATGAAAATTAACATGAGTCAGGAGGCGTGCTGCTTTAATGCAGCTCAATTTAGAAAATTATAAAAGGTATAATACATATGATTCGAAATATTATTGATTAAAACGTATTCAAATAACGTTAAGTCTTAATACTGTAAAGGGCACGAAAAATTATTTCTGCTCTTAATTTCAGCCTTATAACATGTAAAATAATATGTCCCATGATTTGAAATAAAGTTTAGATACTGCCGCCGCAAATGCAGACATCTACATGTACATAAAATTATAATGTTTACAAATTTTGAACATAACCGGTACCTCGTATTCATTTCTTTGTTGATCATTCCCATTATCATTTGGTGTTCTTCTTCTGGTACGTCCATCCATTCTGACTTTCACCACGTCCACTACAATTATAACAAAATGTTTTTATATCAACAAAGGAAATAATTAAGAATTTGTTAGACCGAAGGTAATCAGTATTGGTCTCTTGAGTAAAGGAAAATAAAGATAAATAATTCCGCGAAGAGGAACCTTTTTCTAACAAAGGCTATGATTTTTCCACTACAAGAATTGCATTTCTTAGCCTTTTACTTTCAAAACTGAAAAGAATGACTCCACTGCCGGACAAATTAGCATTCTTTGCATATGACAAGAACATTGTTCAAACTCTTTCTTTTGCTTCTGTAGTACAACCTAACCCCTTAATGACATTTTTTACTTTTCTTATTTAAATTAAAGTCATCCACCTATGAATCAATTTTATTTTATTAAATCAAACTCTTAGCATTCAATCTGTATAAAACATGTTTTCAAAACTGAAAAGAATGACTCCACTGCCGGACAAATTAGCACACCTTCTTTGCATATGACATGAAAATCGTTCAAACCCTTTTTGACTTCTGTAGTACAACCCTAACCCCTTAATGACCTTTTTTTACTTTTCTAATTTAAATTAAAGTCACCCACCTATGAATCAATTTTATTTTATTAAATCAAAATCTTAGCAAGATAATTTTCATTCAATCTGTATAAAACATTATAGAAAAGTGACTTGAAACCCATAACTGTCATTTTGATAACTAAATGAAATTATCTAATTATATTTTGTGGAACCATATAAAATCAAAGAAACATTTTGAAAAAGGGATTTTCAAAGTGTTCGTCATTATGTAGGCATATTTAATGGTAAAAAGAACACACACCATAGCGGCCATATCTTTGATAAATCAAATATTTAAAAATATATTGTTACATGGTCTTTGAGAAAGGATATCAAATTCAAATAGACAGCTTTTCTGAATACAGGTATTAACAGACTATGTCCCCTAGTAGCAATTGTTATCAAAATAATTTGTACAACATTGGTAGATGGTCCCCTTGTGACAATTTCTCTGAAATAGTGTGGACATTTATTAATTCGACAAGAAGCACTGTGCTAAACAGAATAAACGGCAAGTTTACTTCATTTAAATGAACTTTAACACGATATGATAAAAAAAATATTTACACGTTGGACAAAAAAAACGGAATAATTTTTGTTTATAGTAATTCAAAAATGTATTTAGGTATTTTATATTAAACCTTTTCAAAATTCATGAATATAAGTGAGTAATAAATATAATCGTTACAAACATGCAAGTGGTTAAAATTCCGCTAAACATGTTTCAAATTTCCCCTCATGCTGACTCATGCAAATCAAGTAGTATTGAGTGTTTTGTCGTTGTATACAACCACAAGGAAAAATGTGTTTCATATCTCATAAGTGCATACTGTTATCGTTTGGGTAAAAACAGTTTTCCCATGAAAAAACAAGAGGTTTATTTTTATCGGGGAAAACAATTTAGTGCTGAACTACATGTATGTATTTCAATAATTTTATCTTGGAAGGTATTTCTTCCCCGAGAGTTATAGACGCCTTGCAAAATGTAAGGTCAATGTCAGGTCACTCATGTTGGCAGAAAGCTGCTACTGATAAGCCTCCAGAACAGGTTTAAAGAGAAGTTATTACTTTAAATGTTAAAATAAGCAGTTGTTATTAGCAAAATATAGCTTCAGAAATTTGTGAATTATTTGATGCTTTTTTTTGGTTTATTTGAGGTTCGTTTTATGTAAAAATTAAGGATATAACTTAGAATAAAATAGTTAAAGGTAAACAAACTTATGAAATATCAAAATGAAATATTCTAATGAAATATTTTTCATAAAATTCAAAAATGATAACATTGATATTTCCATCTCACAGTCAGCTCTCAACATAAAATAGTTCTTTTATTGAAAACAGAAAAACTGTGCTTTAACAGAATAAAATGTTGCAGAACAAACTATTACGCTACTATTTTAAAAAGTTTTTTAACAAAACAAAACATATTTATTTCATAAAGGCATTCTTATTCAAATTTACGGATGCTCAAATAGGCAAAACACAGAAAATACTATGTCATTACTTAGATTCCTAAATACGTATTGTGGAGAAGGGATGCATGGACAAAAGCTATTAAAAATAAGACCAAGATAATTAAAGCCGTGGCAACAAACAAATAATTCTTTGCATGCATGTTACGTTTTTATAATGTGACAAATTGTTTTGCTTCATGATTTTTACCATGTTTCATAACATAAATGATTATTAAGTACTAGTAACTGTTGGGTCTAATAATTTCTCCAGTCCACATAGTTAATTAATTGTTAGCAAAAAATTGAAGTTTAGCCTTAATTTTATGAACAGGCTTTTCTGCAGAAGTCGAAATATTTTAAATGACTAGGTTATGCATTTCAGAGTCAAATAATATCTGTATAATTTGGATAGATGTTCCACAAATATATGTTTTAAGCCAGTCAGTTGTTTTCATTTTTTTCTATATTCTTTATATTTATATTCTTATATTTTTTATAATATTGGTAGTTTTAAATTGTAGTTTTGAAACTGAGTTTATGCCTGAGGTTAAAAATAAATTAAAGATGCTTTAAAATAAATCAATGACAATTTAGGTTGCATTGTTTTGATCATATTTTTTATTTATCAGGTAAGCCTTTAACGTATGTTATTTATACACTGCCTCTTGCTTGCAAACACTTGTCAGTTTCTCATAATAGAACTGGCTGCACATGTCGAAACACTGGTACATAATAATAATAATAATAATAATAATAATAATAATAATAATATTATTATTATTATTATTATTATTATTAACAAGCAAATTCGTTGAATTTATATCCCCCGCCGAGTACTGGTTATTATTAACACAATAATTGAAGACATAAGGCTTTATTTATATATTAATCATGGCATAAACAGTAATATTCTTTGAACTTGATAAATATTCAGGGCAATAACAGAGCCATAACTTTGTGTTAAATAGTAAAATCTGGAAATGCCAATGAGATGTATAAACTACATTACTAATCAAGGGCCATAAATCTGAGTTATAAGTATCTGACTGGAACAAGGCGACTATATGCACATCTCCTCTTAGTATCTGAATTCCAGCCAGTAGTAGCAGAGAAGTAGCGAAGAAACAAATATTTTTCTATATGAATACTGCATAAGTAATCAAGGGTCATAACTCTAAGTTAAAGTGTCTGACCCGAACAAGCCGACGATATGCGCATCTCCTCTTGGTATTGAAGGTTCCCATAAAGTTTCGTTGAATTCCAGCCAGTAGTTGCAGAGAAGAAGTGCGGAAACGATTTTTATTCTATATGCATACTACATAACTAATCAAGGGCCATAACTATGAGTTAAAGGGTCTGACCGGAACATGCCGACGATATGCGCATCTCCTCTTGGTATTGAAGGTTCCCATAAAGTTTCGTTGAATTCCAGCCAGTAGTTGCAGAGAAGTAGTGCAGAAACGATTTTTTACTCTATATGCATACTACATAACTAATAAAGGGCCATAACTCTGAGTTTAAGGGTCTGACCAGAACAAGCCGACGATATGTGCATCTCCTCTTGATATTGATGATTCCCATAAAGTTTCGTTGAATTCCAGCCAAGTAGTTGCAGAGAACTACTCCGGAAACGATTTTTACTCTATATGCATACTACATAACTAATAAAGGGCCATAACTCTGAGTTAAAGGGTCGGACCGGAACAAGCCGGCGATATGCGCATCTCCTCTTGATATTGATGATTCCCATAAAGTTTGGATGAATTCCAGCCAGTAGTTGTAGAGAACTACTCCGGAAACGAAATTCGGACGGACGGATGGACGGACGGACAACGCCAAAACTATATCCCCCTCCCGATTCCATCGGCGGGGGATAATAATAATAATAATAATAATGATGATGATGACTTTATTTAAAGGGGCAACATAGTTTAGCAACTTCAGGCTTCCTTTTGAGTCTCTATCAAAATGTACATATAGTTAACAGTTCAAACAAATGATTTATATAAAAATACATATTGTTTATATGATATTAAATGATTTTGCATATATTCAGGGAGATGAGTATTTAGGGATTTATATACTTAAATGGCATTTTTATAATTTACTCTCAGAGATTTTATAAATACAGTTTAATTCAGAAAATAGCTTATCAATGGGCGCATTGAATGCCAGTATCTGTCGTTTATCCAAGATTTTTATAGTGTCCAATAATGATGGAAAGAAGTGTTTGGTCTGCAGAAATGGATAGTTTATCAAAGAAAACAAAATTAAATATACAGACATAAAATATAAAGACAAGGTCATTTTTTGAGCATGTGTACACTCTTTTCCATGAACTTAGCCTATTAGCAGACAGCTTTATGCCTCCAGAGATAACCTGTGGCCTGTAATGATATGCATCGTTCTATTTTTAGTAATTTTTAAAGGGGTCTATTTATAATGCGCCAGAGACGTTCGTTTCTGTACATGTAGAAGATTGGGAAACGAATACTCCACTTTAATAATTTACTTTTAGGGGTATATAGGGGTTTCTTAGTTTATGTATTCTGACAATTATATGAAACGATTTATCTAAAGATAACATATTTAACCTTAGAAGCTGAATGGGTTTGTATTAAAACCAAATTCACCTTAATATATTCAATTATTTTTGTTGGTTTCGTTTTCTTAATATTCTGTTATCGAATTTGATAAGTGGCTACATTTTTTTTTTCGTTGTTTTTATAGGAGGGTCTTTTTTCCGTTTCCTATCATATCGTTGGTCGGTTAGCAACATAAATTCATTGTGGACTATATTAATTAGATTAGATTCTTTTATCCTTGATATTTCAAAAATATTATAAAATTAATTATCATAAAATATACTTATTAACTTATTTCTTGGAATGAATTGTCTTTTAATTCGTTCGCTGCAGGATAGTAAAATATAAATTTATAAAAAAAAAACAAGTTAACATTAAAAATTGTTCTTTATTGCATGTAATCCATTATTACTGACCTTTTAATTTAAGAAATAAAGTTGAAAATCAAATAAAAAGTATTTTATCTTTGTATAATCTGGATCAACACGTCGTTAGATACCCACTGCCGAACCGTTAACATTTATCAGATTACATGTAGGTATCCGACGATGGGATCAAGGGTACTTAAGAAATCTACATATTTTTATAATGTGTAGTCCTGCAAAAACAAAGGGAAACTAAACAATTAGAAACCTTATGACATAATAACAATTTATTTCCTTCTAGTTCACAATGAATTGGATGTACATGTGCTTCAAAATGGCGCAATCATTACAGTGGGCGCTAGGGGAGTGGTAAAATGCAGTACAGCCGCAAGCCAAAAATATGTGATACAGCCAATTAGTAATATAACAGAAGTAATATTTAGAAAATAAGATATACATTAAAACAAACCTGATTCATAAACTTTTCCAGATAACAATAACAATAGTTTATTTCAACACTTTTTCAACTTGCCAAGTTTAACACTTTGCTTCCTGATCTATCACTGAGCTTTATTTAGTTTATCTGGTAAATACAGCTTGACTCAATAAACTAAACATAGAAACCAAACGTCATTGGTCGATTTTGAAACATAGCAGAGCTGTTTACACTGGAAAACGGTCGATAGCGCGTGATCATTGCATTTTGCAATGTTAAACAAAACTAGCGTCCTAGTTTATCAAAAACAGAGTAAAACAAAGGCGGAGTTCAGATTTTGTTTCGATTTTTCTGGGCCCTGTTTGAGCTTGGAAAATTTATTTATTACCTTAAAACTTTGGCATAAACGTTGGTTCATTACATAGTTTCCTATGCTTAAACGGTCGTTTTCAAAATGTTATAGAAAAGATAAATTTGAAATCTACAGCGTTACTACATATATGATCAACGTACATTTATACATGTATGTTTTATACACAAGTATATCAGCCAACAACAAGTATATATAGTGTTTAACTGACAAATATCTTTTAGTTTCCAGACAAGACACAACGTACAAAAAGCGAATTATTATTGTACTTAAACTTTAAAAATAAATTATACACATTTAGTACATTTTATACACATGAAAGTAATTGCTATACCCAAAACATTATAATATTGTTCTGTAAAAGTTGTAAAACAATTTTATATGTTATATTTAAATAGGACAATTTTTGACTTTTATCATTTTGTTGATAAAAATGTTTTACTTACACTTATTAAATTCAAACTTAGATTAGTTTCTCCACAGATATTTGGCCTTTAAATTTTGAATTTCACATAAAACCCCTAGCATGGTTTTAAGCTATTTGCCAATATATAATATAATGTATAACCACAAAAAGGATTTATCATTCAATTGTAATCTACTTTGTACACGTTATTATACTTTAACTTTTGCCTGTCTTGTCAACGTTTTATTAAAGATCAATGTGATGTTGCAGGGAATGTTGATAGATCTTTTGTAGGGAAAAATTGCTTCAACATATTTAATTTGGTTGATTTTTTTTCTATACATGCCTGATATAGCTTCAGATTGAGAGACATTATGTATCCTATAATCATGCCATAGTTATTATTTTCCTTTACTTCACACTGTAAAGTACTGGATGTACATTTGTATAAAAAAAGTAATCTTTAAAGTAAAATAATAAAGCATTTATCATGTGCCCTTTCGTTTCATTTTACTTACATGATTCTAAGGCCCTGTCTACACCTATCCAAGTCTTGAATGCAAGTATCATATTCTCTTGTATTGGACAGTGTAGACACCCTACTTGAATGGTTTTTAAAGAGAAATTATGTGACATCCATGAAATTAATTTCTTGCAAGAAAAGTAGAAAAGGTTCTATTTTTCTACAAGTTTTTGGCTGTCAAGACACTGATAACACTAGTTTGACACAGTTTGGTTCCTTGAAGAAGGAAGAATAGTAAAATAAGTTTCCAATGTTTAACGTTTTTAGCAAAATGGTTTTATACATGAGAAAAATAATGAATAATCATGATAACAAAATGTAATTAAAAAATAATGAAAAGTTTAAATTTAATAAATGAAAGAACTGAAAGAACAATTTAAATATTTACTATATACATTTTAATATAAGGGATAAATTATTAGATGAAAGTGATAATCAACAAAATATGAAATGAACATTTTTAATAAACATAAGAATAAAATGAAAAAAAAACTAAGATAAAGAATTGTTGTCGTTTTTGTACAAGCCGAACGCAAATACTTTGAAATTGTTTTTGAAGTACACATTCGAAAAGAGAATACATTTCTACAAAGTAGAGGTTTATTGGTTGACAACTTCGCTAGGCGTGACGTCCATGACGGCGTATTTCAAATTGTAAATTCCGATGACCCAAGCATAAGGCTTTCCATACACGACTGTTTTTCTTCTTCTGCATGCAAGCACATGGAAACACCAGAGGATGGAAACATGTTCCAAGATAGAATGCCAAGAAAATGGAGGAGAAGTACACATTCGTTGTTTACAACATAAAAGCTATCTTGTATCGAGACACGCCTGGACACGTGCGGTTTGGGACACACCTGGAAGTAACAATGAAAACGTTGACTGGCGGTTAGTAAAGGTAAAAAGAGAAGACGACTCAGATTGTTTTGTCATTGTTGCGAAGTCAACTGAAAACAGTTGTATATATTATGATGATACGGGCCGTGTGTATGACAAAGCTTACGATCCTTCAGACGTTCGTTGTTACTGGAGACTACAGCCTGTTGATAGAACGATGTATGATATGCATGTATTAAGAACGATGGTCCAAGCATTTTTTAGAAAGAATGCACATTAGAATGATTTTACCAAGCATATCGGTGATATAAATGTACATGGATAACAACAACCGTTTTGATTCATTTTATTCCTCCAAAAGATATCTTCAGCCTTCCTGAAAACAAACAGCAGTCACACGTTGCTATGTAACACAGCAAATGCGCTTAAAATATTCGTAATGTCATGACGCATGCGATAACAGGACATTGGCCAAATCTTTTGTGGTTTGTGTTTTACTTTGTTTCTTTCTTCACTTTTCAAAAGACTTAACATATATTTTTCTCATCTTTAGGTAAATATTTATTGCAGAATGTTATTGAAATCTAATAGAATATGTCTAATTTAATTAAGAAATCCCTATGACTGGTCAAATTATTGCCCTTTTCTCAAAAGCTTTAAGGAGCTGGGGAAGGATGTTGGAATATTTAATTATCCCTCATGTTAATAATCTGTGTGTACTTAAAATATGTTTATTTTACATTTCCAAAGAGATTTATGTTTATTTTACATTTTCAACGAGATTGGTCTTATCTGTGTGTACTGACAAGATGTTTATTTTAGATTTAGACTTTTAATCAACTGAATTGCCTTTGTGTACTGTAAACTGAATGACAGGACCCTGGGTTGTAAGACCGATGACATACTTTAACTTCTTTGCACTCATTGTCATCTTTTAATTTTTGTTCTGAACCCTTTGTGTGAGTTTAAAATCATGAAACTAGTGATATACGACGGATCAACATTGTTATTTGAAAACTATCAAATTTCTCAATGTATCTGTCTGCTTAACAGCCAGTAATTGGCTGAAGTCCATCTTGCTCATTTCATACTACGTCTAATCAGCTCCTTGTAAGATGCCAACTATTCCGTGGCAACTATTTCTTTCACTCTAACAATTGATAGTAGACTTCAATATTCTTACCGACGGTCGTGTTGTGCATCTGATGTTGAAACTACTAGTATATAACATTTTATGCAAATGACGTTACTGACCCCCTCCTCCCCCTTCCATGCAACGATTTCTAAAACCAACAATGTACTCTACAATTTGTATAACAATATACTGGCGGACACTATTTAGGACCAGACGCAACTTATGTGATTTTTTAATACATGTATCTACGTTGTTTTTACTGTTTAAATTGGAAGCATAGAAATAAATGTATGTAATCTCTCCTAAATGCTTATTTTATTTTGTGATTTATGGATAATTCAGCAAGATAATATTTAAGGTGTATTCGCATTAGAACAACCATAGTTATTATTTTAACAAAGTGACATTAGTCCACTTTTTTCCTTGTCGCGATGAGCTTAAATGGCTATACATTTAAGAATTTTAGATAAAATTGTAGTTATTAACCAATTATAGATGATGAAACATGATCAGGATAAAACGTTAGAACTGCTTGAAATATAAAAATAACGATTGCCAAAAATGATTCGTTCCGTAAGATAGTTATAGAATTTTAGAGTCACTAGGTTTACACTTAAATTATACTATAAAATGAAAACAATTATGACAAAAACATCTAAAATTATTTTGTCAGAGGTTAAAATAAACTAACTTTTAAATATGACTTAATTCGAAATTCAGTTTATATTTACGCTGTTTATCCGTAAGCGAATTCTTATTATAACATTTTTAGGAGAAGAGAGAAAAAGAGAAAAAAATGGTATAACAGCTTTCATATGAAGGATCAAAATGTAACCTACGGAATAAAACAGAATGAAAATTAAAATTTACAATAATTACAACAAATGACGATCTAAAAAAGAATGCATTTGAGACAACAATTTGAAACGGGCATCTCCAGCAAGCCCAGTCGGTTTTAATTTTGACTCCTATTATATTAAAAATGAACTAAACCTTTTCTTGCACACGGATGTTGTTTCCCTATTGCAATGCACATCTGCCCACTTATAACCCTTAAACTGCTCAGACCATACACAGCGTTCATTTTTCGGAAGGATAAGGCTCAGAAGGCCTCCAATCAACGAAGGTAGCCCCGGTACCTCTTTTTTGCCATATCCACTTTCCTGTTCATGGATTTTCCGTCAGTCCTAAACAGTACGAGGTATCTACAATTACACATAAGATGATTTGGTAGACTTATACAATATTTAAGTTGATGATAGTCAAGAGAGTATTTGATGGTTAGTGTGTGCAGATAAATTCTCAAATTTATGTTTAATACTTGTGTATGTTATTGCCACCTGGCAATTCGTCTAGACAAGTGGATGTAAATGAATTTTATTACTCTTTGCTAACTAGTGTTTATATGTATCAAACTTATGGTCCAATTATAATTTTTGGTGACTTTAATTGCAGAATTGGCGAAATGAATGACTATATTACTGGTATTGATGATGTTATTGAGAGAAATACTATTGATTTCACAAGCAACTTAAATGATGAAAACCTAATAGATTTAATTGACAGTAACACATGTGTTTTAAATGGGAGAAATTTTGTAAAAAATGGTTTTACATCCGTATCAGTTAAAGGTTGTTCTGTTGTTGACTGGTGTATTATACAGCAAGAATATTTACAAATGTTTACAGAATTTAGTGTAATAAGGAGTACTGAACTGATGTCAAGAGTAACTTTCAAAGATAATTTTCTGCCCAGTTCAATTACATTGACTTGGATCTTTAACATTCCTGGAAACCATGAAAGGTGTAACAATAAAAGTGATTTTTTACAGTCTGCTACTCCTCATTATACTAAATTTGATCTAAATACTAGTAATATACCTGATACACATACACTTTTATATTCTGATGATGTCATCAAATTG